CCAACTTCTTCAACGCGAGCGTGCCGCCGCCGGGCTCGGCATTGAGCTACAAGCTGCGGTTCGATGACGCCACGTTGAAGTTGGAGCTGGTACCGCAGGGCAACTGGCGACTGCAGCTGCTACTGTTTATCCTGCTGGCCACGGTGCCGATCGTGACGGGGCTGGCGGTGGTATGGATATTTATGGGATCGTTTTACAAAGTCAAGATCAACAAGGTTGGGTTTAAGCGTGTGAGCAGGTCGCCTTTTGGGAGGGCTGCGAACCGCTTATCGACGTTATCGTTTGATGATTTTCGAAAAAAGGATGCCACGGAGATGAGCAACTATGGCGGAGCTAGCGCTGTGACGGAGAGGCGGACAGTTTTGATTGCTACGATGGAGTATAACATCGATGATTGGAACATCAAGATCAAGATAGGCGGCTTGGGTGTGATGGCTCAGCTGATGGGCAAGGCGCTGGAGCATCAGGATCTGGTGTGGGTGGTGCCGTGTGTTGGTGTAAGTGCCACGATGCTGTTCATGCTCCCCGGATCAACCTACCTTGCCGTTACTCAGGTTTCCATCGATCGATAAGCTACTGACAATATACACTAGGGAATCGACTACCCTGTCGACGAAAGGGCACCGGCCATGTATCCGGTAATCATGGTAAGTCTTGAGTTGAGCTCCCAAGCCAACATAACCAAACACCTTTTCCCCTTGAGAGTCTAGGCCTTGCTGACCACGTCGTTGCGAATAGGGCAAAGAATACGAGGTCCAAGTTCAGTACCACAAAGTGAACAACATTACCTACGTGCTCCTCGACGCCCCAGTATTCCGAAAATGCAGCAAAGCCGACCCATACCCACCTCGCATGGACGACATGGACTCAGCCGTGTACTACAGTGCATGGAATCACTGCATCGCCGAGACAATCAAGAGGTAAGTACGCCTTTGAAACTCGCATTCTGTTCATAGAGACCTGTCTCTTTCTCTCTCTCTCTCTCTCTCTCTCTCTCTCTCTCTCTCTCTCTCTCTCTCTCTCTCTCTCTCTCTCTCTCTCTCTCTCTCTCTCTCTCTCTCTCTCTCTCTCTCTCTCTCTCTCTCTCTCTCTCTCTCTCTCTCTCTCTCTCTCTCTCTCTCTCTCTCTCTCTCTCTCTCTCTCTCTCTCTCTATCTATCTATACGGATACCCAGGGAAGAAAGGCCCATGCTAACTGATGTGTGCGGCAGATTCCCCATCGACCTCTACCACATAAACGACTATCACGGCGCCGCCGCGCCCCTCTATCTTCTCCCCGAGCGCACCATCCCTTGCGCCCTCTCCCTACATAACGCCGAGTTCCAAGGCCTCTGGCCGATGCGTACGCCCGCCGAATCCGCCGAAGTCGCCTCTGTCTTCAACCTCGACCCGGCCATCGTCAAGGAGTACGTCCAATTCGGCTCCGTCTTCAATCTCCTGCACGCCGGCGCCTCGTACCTCCGCCTGCACCAGCGCGGCTTCGGCGCCGTCGGCGTCAGCAAGAAGTACGGCGACCGCAGCTTCGCGCGGTACCCGATCTTCTGGGGCCTGCCCAAGATCGGCCAGCTGCCGAATCCGGACCCTGCGGATACGGCGGACTGGAGCCTCGAGGAGGCGGCGCCTGATCGGGCGGTCGAGGTGGACGAGGAAAAGGAGTCGAAGCGCGGCGCGCTACGGAAGCAGGCTCAGGAGTGGGCTGGGCTCGACGTCAACCCGGATGCCGAACTCTTCGTCTTTGTGGGACGGTGGAGTCTGCAGAAGGGCGTTGACCTCATTGCGGATGTCTTCCCGTCCATCTTGGAGAAATACCCGACTACGCAGCTCATCGCCGTCGGCCCCTGCATCGATCTCTACGGAAGGTTTGCGGCGCTGAAGCTGGAAAAGCTGGCGCAGATGTACCCCGGGAGGGTGTATAGCAAGCCCGAGTTCACCGTCCTGCCTCCGTATATCTTCAGCGGCGCGGAATTTGCGCTGATTCCGTCCCGCGACGAGCCGTTTGGACTCGTTGCTGTGGAGTTCGGAAGTAAAGGTGCCCTTGGCGTCGGGGCGAGGGTTGGTGGGCTGGGACAAAGTAAGATATTATTATTCCCTTTGGATCCTTTCTATGATATTATGCCCGTACGAGGGAACAGGTAATTAACCGCAGTTCACTGACCCATGATCTAATCATCTAGTGCCCGGATTCTGGTACACTATCGAATCTACCGCCACAAGCCATCTCCTTCATCAGTTCCGCAGCTCCATCGTAACCGCTCTCGAGAGCAAGCCCACGACCCGCGTTCTCATGCGCGCCTGGTCCGCCAAACAGCGCTTCCCCGTCAAGCAATGGCTCAAGGACCTCGAGACTCTACAGTCCGAAGCCATCCGCCTGCACAACAAGGAAGCCTCCAAGAAGAAGCGCTTCTCGCATAAGCCCCTACTGAGTGTCCCCGCGCGCGGACGCGGGCGCGACTCGGCCGAAGCATCGCCGCGGTCATCGTCGTCGTTTCCTTCTCGACTATCGAGCCCTGCTGGAACCCTGGACCGTCGTCGATCGAGAGAGTCGACCCTGTACCGGGATTCTTCGCCTGGCTTCCCCCCGCGAACGGCACGAACGCCAAGTCCGTACTTGGACTCGCCGCCTATTGCGGCTGATATTCGTACACGTACCCGATCTGTATCTCGGCCCCCGCAGCTACGAGTTGATGGACCTGCGGGAGGACAAGATGCTGAAGACGGCTCGCTGTTAGTACCGCCTAATCCTCTCGACGCGAACTCGAACCCGTTCTACACAATCACCGGGAACAACTCGTCCTCGGATAGCTTGGCAACCATAATGGCACCCGACAACGGCATGCCGGGCAGCAACCCGTCCGGCCTGCGGCCTGCGCTCATGCAGCAACGTAACTCGTCGCTCCTCTCCGTCAACGAGGTCGTCGGCGCACGCAACGACTACGCTCTACAAAAGGTCGATCCGTTCTTCAACGACAGCACCGACGAGTACTACCAGGCCTTCAAGAAGAAGCTGGCCGGCTTGACAGCCAAGAACAGCGAGGGCGAGATGTGCATTGAAGAGTACCTCGTAGAGAGCGAGCGGGATTGGAGCAAGCGCTTCCGGGATGCCAAGCTGGGACGGTCTAGGAGTCCGCGGGGACGTACGAGCATGATGGATGGTCCAGGACGCCCGAGCCATTCGCGCAACTCGAGCTACAATAGCATTGCGCCCAGCGAGGCGGATAGTGGTGATGATGGGAATGGTCCCGACGGTGAGGATCCTTTGGATGATGAGTTCTTGCTGGGCAAGACGTACAAGGCGCCGACCGGACTGAAGAAGTACGTGCGATCTCATCCCCCCCCCCCCCCCCCCCTCACATTACATCCGAGCCTGACTACTAACCATTGTCCAGGTTGCTTCAGATCCGTCTCAGCAACTGGCCCATCTACTCGTTCCTCCTAGCTCTCGGCCAGATCCTCTCGGCCAACTCGTACCAAATCGTCCTCCTCACCGGCAGTACCACCCAGACTGAGAACAAGCTCTATCTCATCGCCAGCGTCTATCTCGGCACTTCGATCGTCTGGTGGATTCTGTTCCGTCGCTTCGCAGCCCTCTACACCCTCACGCTGCCCTTCCTTTTGTACGGCCTGGGGTTCCTTCTGCTCGGCATATCGCCGTTCATCCCTCTCCACGGCGGCCGCGGAAGCCTCCAAGTCGTCGCCACGTGCCTCTACGCAGCCGCGTCGTCCACGGGCAGCTTATACTTTGCAGTCAACTTTGGCGACGAAGGCGGCGCGCCCATCAACATCTGGCTCTTCCGCGCGTGCATCATCCAAGGGATCCAACAGCTCTACACCGTTGGCCTGTGGTACTGGGGCTCCGTGATAGCCGGCGCGCAGACCGGCGAAGGCAGCCTGAATAGCAAGACGATCGCGGACAGTCATGTGCCCGTGGTCCTCGTCATCGCCGTCCCCATCGCACTTTTCCTGTGGGCCGTAGGCCTCGCGCTGTTCTTCGGCTTGCCCGATTACTATCGCCAAGCGCCGGGGTACATCCCGAGCTTCTACACAAGCCTGATCCGTCGGAACATCGTTCCGTGGTTCTTCCTCACGGTGCTGGTGCAGAACTACTGGCTGAGCGCACCTTACGGACGCAATTGGCAGTTTCTATTCGCCTCGAAATACGCCCCAGGCTGGTCGGCCGTCTTACTCGCGGTGGGCTTCTTCGTCGGTATCTGGGCCCTTCTCCTATTCGCTTTCTCGCGCTTCAGCGTCACGCACCCGTGGCTTGTACCCATGTTTAGCGTTGGTCTTGGTGCCCCGCGCTGGGCGCAAATGCTCTGGGGTACATCCGGCATCGGCCTCTACTTGCCCTGGCTGGGCCACAACGCTGTCGCGAGCGCGCTCGTCTCGCGCGCTCTGTGGCTGTGGCTGGGCGTGCTGGATGCCATCCAGGGCGTGGGCATCGGAATGGTCCTGTTGCTCACACTAACGAGGCAGCACGTAGCGGCGGCACTGGTGGGCGCCCAGATCCTGGGGAGTGCCGCGACGATGCTGGCGCGCGCAACGGCCCCGGATAAGATCGGGCCGGGTGACGTGTTTCCTGATTTCTCAGAGGGGATTATGCCCGGGGTGTCAAGGGCGTGGTTCTGGGTGGCGTTGGGGATGCAGTTGATTCTGCCATTCGGGTACTTTAAATTTTTTAGAAAAGAACAGGTTAGTAAGCCCTAGATAGGCTGTCTATTAGCTACGGAAAGGAGGTTCAAGCGGCGAGGTTTAAGGCACTGAATACGCAGTACTGCGAAGTGATAATCAAATACCAATACAGCGCCTCTTAGGGAGGTCTAGCATGGATACTGTTTCCCTTGAGGACACGTCTTGTAACTTGAGAACGTGACCTACGTGCTGGATCTTAATAGGTACATAGTCTAATCTATCCGTACAGTGAATTTAGTGCTACTTCGCTGACTATTCTCCGTGCTTTAGCCGTAGCATTCTATTATATTTAACGGGTATCCTAAAGCATACAGGTGTTGAGAACGCTGTAAACAGCCACAGCCACGGGCCGCGTAGCGGGCAGGACAAGCACGAGATACGAGATACGAGATACGAGGGGAGCCCTAGGGCACATCCACAATTACAGTGGGTCAGACGCCATGCTATACAGCATAGTAGTAAGACAACAGCTGCTGCAAATGGCTAGAGCCTAGATCCGGCCCGCTATTTTCAAAAGCCGGCCAAAGCACTGCCCCAAACCTAGCTAACTGAGATCTCGGCCTTTCTTTTCCTCGTTTACTCACTCTCCTTGTTGCTGATTCCCCTGTATCAGTCCGTGTTTGAAAAGTCGGAAAACTCATGCTGGGTTAAACTGTACTTATTGATTTCCACCTCTTGGGCTTCCTTATTTGTGTGTCTCCTTGCTCTCCAAGTTATTGTCAAGCTGCTGCTACTCAACGAACCAATGGATAGCTCTCATTCTCCTGTCCCGGCTACTTCGGATGACTTTGTTGTGAAGGGGTCTGGCGAGAAGCTCGAAACAACAGCCAGAACTAACAAAGGCACATTTCTTCTTGCGATTCCCTCGTGCAAAGGGGCCCTCCGCTAATAAAGTGCCTTGCAGAAGATGGACGCGTCGACATCACCTTTGCCGCCCCGCCATACAGCGAAATCGTCCCGCCTTCGCCTCCTCTTAGCACAGCACCTCCCCAGCCCGAGCCTCCGGCTTTTGCAGAGATTGGTGACTCGGTGATACGGCGCCCACAACTTCGCCAATTTGCCTCAACACCTCCGTGTGCCTTGAACATTGTCATCCAGATCGTCGGAAGCCGCGGTACGCGTCCAACTCATTCCAATCTTCTGATACAGTCGCTTGACAAAAGTCTGGGCTCAACCACTAACTTCCTCACTGGCGGGGTGAGCCCAAACTTTGGTCATGTGACTGTATATTTACCAGCAAATTACTGATGCCCTCCTTAGGTGATGTGCAGCCCTTTATTGCATTGGGCAACGAGCTGCAGACACACGGCCATCGCGTACGCATCGCTACGCACGATGTTTTTCGGGACTTTGTGCGCAAGTCCAATCTGGAATTCTTTCCCGTCGGAGGCGATCCTTCCGACCTCATGGCTGTGAGTGGGCGACCTTGACGATAACTTCCACCCCCCTACGGATATTACGTCTAACAAGCGGCATCGCAGTACATGGTCAAGAACCCAGGCCTGATGCCATCCTTGTCATCTCTACAAGCTGGAGACATAGGAAGGAAGCGAGTCATGGTGAAAGAAATGCTCAACAACTTCTGGCGCTCGTGCATCGAGCCTGACCCGGATTCCAAGGTGCCCTTCATTGCCGAGGCCATCATTGCCAACCCGCCCAGCTTTGCTCACATGCACCTCGCCCAAGCCATGGGCATACCTCTTCACTTGATGTTCACCATGCCCTACAGCCCGACGAGAGAGTTTTCGCATCCGCTCGCCAATATTCAGCAATCCAACCTAAAACCCTCCACTACAAACTATCTCTCTTACGGCATGGTCGAGCTGCTGACCTGGCAAGGGTAAGTTTTGCCCTGTAGTTGCCTTCATCCGTCCGAACGCTCGCATTGATACAAAATAATAGCCTCGGGGATATCATCAACGACTGGAGACTCGAAACCTTGAACTTGGAACCTCTTACGGCCGTAGTCGCCACGAGCATGTTGGAAACTCAGAAAGTCCCCTACACGTACTGTTGGTCACCAGCCTTGGTAGCGAAGCCATCAGATTGGCCAAGCCACATCGGTAAGCTGACCTCAAATACTGCCACGCCAACTCATTTGCACTCCTAATCACAAAAGGTCACAGATGTCTGTGGATTCTTCTTTCGCGAGGAGCCTCAATACACTCCTCCCGATGACATTGCCAACTTTCTTCAGGGAGGGTCTCAACCCATCTATATCGGCTTTGGCAGTATTGTGATGGAGAACGCCGAGGCGATGACCGACATCATTCTCTCGTCGATACGTAAATGCGGTGTACGAGCCATCATTTCCAAGGGGTGGAGTAATCTCGGAAAGGACAGACAAGACGAGAATGCCATTTTCATCGGCGATTGTCCCCATGGTATGCGAACATTCATTCACCCGGGCTTACCGAATCAGACATTAACAGCACAATGCAGAATGGCTCTTCAAACACGTTGCGGGTGTCATTCATCATGGAGGTGCTGGGACGACCGCATGCGGACTGCTTAATGGGTGTCCTACGTTCATTGTACCCTTCTTCGGCGAGTATGGATCACCATGTTAGCAATTGGTTGCAGAGATGCTGATACACGCTTTGTTTAGTCAACCATTTTGGGGTCAAATGGTCGCAGCAGCTGGTGCCGGCCCCCAGCCAGTCGGGCAGAAGGCCCTGGACGAGTCTACCCTGGTGGCAGCCATTCAAACCCTCCTTGCACCCGATACGAAGATTGCCGCAAAGCGTATCTCGGACAAGATGAAGGCAGAAGACGGCGTCAAGCGGGCTGTGCAGTCGTTCCATCGAAGTCTCCCCCGCGAGACAATGACTTGCGACTTTTTACCTGAAGAGTACGCAGTTTGGACCTATAAGTCAAAGCTTCTTCAGAAGAAGCAAAGGAAAAAGTATCAAAACGGACTCCAGGTCTCTTCGAAGGCCGTCCGGATTCTGAGCAACAACAACAACCTCAACTTGACAAAGCTTGAACTGTAAGTCATGTCTGGCTTTTCCTGTGGGCCATATGCAATACCTACGCTCTTCCTTGGCACATCACGTTGTTGGGACGAACTGACAGTTAGCAGGAATCAACCGAAACCAGTAGACATTGATAATAGACGATGGGATCCATTAACCGCTACATCGTCTGCACTAGTGGGGTCCTTGGTTGACTTCTCCACCGGCATGGGTAGCCTTGTGTCGGCGCCCATCAAGAAGATCAGACATGAAACAGGCAAAAAAGCTGGAGGAGGGGATGCAGCCCCAAGCGGGACGGATGCGACGAATTCGACATCCGCGAGCGATGGTTCGCTGTCAAAGCACTCGGGTGCCGGGAAGTCAGCAAAGACGGGTTCATCCAAAGTGGCCAGGAGTCTTATCAAAGGCACCCTCGTTGATGTCCCTTGCGCTATTACTGAAGGACTGCACAACATTCCTGAACTATATGGAGAAAAGGTTCGAAAGCACGACAAGATTACCGACTGGAAGAGTGGCGCTTCCGAAGCTGGCAAGGTATGTAATGACAACACATCTCTCTGCAGAGGTTCTGGATAGTTCACGTTCTCTGCTTCGACCTCTCGCTCGGGAGAACTGCGCAGTCGGACTGGCTCCTGAACCTCTCTCCCTCACAGTTACCCGACTAACAATCCATGCACCTAATAATAGAATTTTGCTTATGGCTTTCTTGATGCCACCTGGTGTCTTTTCAAGCAACCTGTCGAGGACACCATGAAAAGGGGCCCGATAGGGTTGGTTACTGGTCTAGGAAAGGCGGGAATGGGGTTGATTGCTAAGCCTGGCAGTGGTACGTTCCAAATTCTTCCCATTTCCTCTCCACTAGCAGCTTACCGGATGTAGCGATGTTCGGGCTTCTGGCGTACCCTGCCCTGGGCATCTACAGGAGTCTTGCTGGTTCCCTTTCCAAGACGGAAAAGCAGATCATGGAGGCAAGACTGGCCCATGATGCTTATTTCGCCAACTTGGAACCGATCACGGATGAAGAGATGAATCGCGTTCTAGGGCAGTGGAAGGCCAAATAAGCAATATATACGACTACGTATGGCAGATGGCAGGACCCTTTCGCGTCCACCAATCTGTCAACAGCATTCTCTGGCATTTTCCTTATAGTGTACTCTAGAACTTGTAGAAATGCTCATTGACATTGAGCTTCTGTCTTTGAGAAATGTATTCCATGGAATGTGTCTGTGGTCTTGCATCCATCTTCCTGGGAAGAGTCGGTCGCGTCAGTACATGAAAGTGTCGTGCAGACACAAAGCTATATGTCGGGCTGCCGGATACAGGGCGGATACAAAGACATAACTCCTTCAATCTTATTTGCAAGTCACAGACGACACCGGAGACATGTACGGTCCAAACATGGCCATCGCTGCCGCCACCGCCACCACATTTGACGAGCTAGCCGCCGCCATCTCCAAGGACGCGGCTATCAGCCTATCACGACGGACCACCTGCGGCAGTACAACATCCCGACGCCTTCGCTCACAAACGGGCAGACTCTCGACACACGGATGCCCTCCCGGCAGATATCCAGGCGGCTTGCCGTTCGCTGCAAGATGCCGCGCTTCAGTTGCACGAGCTCGTCCAGGGCCCCCGCGCGATACTCATGAACTTCTCCAAAAACGCCAAAACCGACGCCGCCACCGTCTTCCGCTTCGCGCCCCCGCGGGCGGTCCCGCTCGGCGACGATGAGGGCATCACGTACGCGGAGCTCGCGCGGCGGACGGGCCTCGCGCAGTCGCCGCTGGAGACGATGGTGCGCCCCCCAGTGCTCTACCGCGTCTTCCGCGAGCCAAGCCGGGGCCACGTCACGCACTCGACGGCAAGCCGGCTGTAGGCAACAGATTCCATCGTCGAAAATGTGTGCTAGGCCTCCGGACCCCGGACAACGGGCTGCACGTGCGGTTCATCGCGGAGGCGCTGGCGCGCCACCCGCGGGCGGACGAGCCTGCTGACGCGGCGGCGAGCGTTCTGCACGCCGCTCTGCAGGGCGCAGAGGAGAAGCCAACAACGTGGTTCAAGGTCCTAGAGCGCGAGCCGGCGAGGGCAGGACGCGCGCAGACGGCCATGAACATGATTGACAAGCGCGACGGGGTTTCGCTGCGGCGGCGGCTGCTGCGAGCAGGTTCCCGCATCTGAGATTTCTCGTGCAGGTGAGTCAAGATCACGGGAACGGAGCCAAATAACGAGAACATGGTGCTTTCGATGGAAGAGCTGACAGCGAGTAGGGCCTCCCGCAGACAATTGCCACGGCGCCGAAAGTCACCCACCTCCCCGTCGAGCTCCTGGCGCACTCGTTCCTCGACGCGCAACCCGCCAGGGGCGCCAAGGTGTAGCTCTTCCGCTGGGTCTTCCACAACTGGCCGGACAAGTACTGCGTGCACATCTTGCGGACCTTTACAGCGGCGCTCGACAAGGGCGCGCGAGTCCCGGCCATGGACAGCGTGATGCCGCCGTTGGAGGCCGCGGGCCATGGAGAGGGAGAAGAGGTACATGGACCTGGTTATGCTCGCCAACTTCAACGCGAAGGACCGGCAGGCCGAGGCCTACGAGAGGCTGTTTGCCGAGGCAAACGAGCGGTACGAGTTCCTGGGCATCAAGAGCATGGAGGGGAGCGAGCTGGGCTTCATTGAGGCTTCATGGAGGGGCTGATGAAGTGAGCTTTTGACTGGGTCGTGATAGTTTAGAATAGGGGTCATAGTATGCTTTTCTCTCCGCGTCCCCCCAGCCGCGTTGTTGCTGCACTTGAAGATGGACAATATGCAACGTTTTTCACTTCAGTTATTCAGACAACATAGGCTGAAGCCCAAGCCTAGTTAACCATTGCAGAGCGGAATTGATCATCATGACTCGACCTTTGCGTCACCTAGACCATACATGAACCCTTCTGTCCGTTGTGCAGCGTTTGGATAATATTGTGCGTGCAAGCAGGAAAGATACAACGCAACTCGACTCGGCCTGGGGATGAGCACGTGGCTGCTGCAGTGGACGTTATTCCTTGGAACACTATAGACTCACGGAGACGGGTCCATATCCTGATTCTTCCACTGATAAGTAGAGGCCCGAAGTGCATGTGGGATGGGATATTTCCCTCCCCTCCTCATCCAGATTACACCACGACCGTCCTGGCCCCTGACTGAGACTGCGACATGTATCTCTCTTCACTTTATCCGGGCACTAATCCGATGGACTCGCTACTCGCGCTCGAGCGCACCTATGCCATTCTCCTCACGCTCGCTCTCGCAACCGCCGTGTACCTCCTTGTCAGACGCAAAGGCCACCATCCCCTGCCCGCACAAAGTGACTTATCTGGGTGGGGGAGAGGGCGAGGCAGGGCCTGGACGCTTTTGTATACCTGATGTGGTGTTAAACGGATTGAAGGTATCGCTTCCTCGGGGGAGAACCCGCACATCACCATGCCGTCCGCCACCATCCTCCTTTTCGGCGATCAGCTGGCGTCCAAGGCATCAGCGGTGGCCAGACTCTACGGCTTGGCAGCTTAGTGTTAGGGTTAGTCGCAAAGATCATCGTCAACAGCTTCGACGCAGAGGGCGGGAACGTCAGCATACTGGTCGAGGAGGCGCCCAAAGTCTCGGACTGGCGGGCCCACGACCAACGTCGGTACCACGTCGTCGTCTGCCCCGGCCGCACACGGTCGTCCCTCGAGGCGAACGAGGCCCGGCTGAGGGATTACTTGGCCCAACGCCCGGTCACGGACCTGGCCAGCCTGGCATACACCACCGCGGCGAATAGGATGCACGAGATGCACCGGTCCGCCCACGTCATGCAGTCCCTCCAGGAGCTGCTTGGCAACCTCGGCACCCTCCAAACGGCGCCGGTCAAGGACGCCCGGCTGTCGTTCTCCTTTACCGGCCAGGGCTCTTTCTACAGCGGCATGGGCGCGGGACTGTACCACACGCTGCCCTCGTTCAGCTCCACGCTGGACGCGTTTCAGGAGCTGTGCGATGCTCAGGCCCTCGGCCGGTTCCTCGACCTCATCGTCGGGGCATAGGACGTGGCGACGGCAACGGCGTGCCAGACGCAGCTCGCTCTGGCGGCGCTCAAGGCCGCCATCGCCCATCTGCTCTCGTCTCTGGGCTTGCAGCCGACTCTGGTCATAGGTCACTCGCTGGGCGAGTATGCGGCACTCCACGTAGCGGGTGTGCTCTCCGTCAGCAACATGCTAAATTTCATCCACACGCGCGCCTCGCTGATCCAGGAGACCTGCACGGCACACGCGTACTCGATGCTGGCGGTGGCAATGTCACGCAAAGCCGCCGCCGACATGCTCCACGGGTCCGACTGCCAGACGTGCGAGGTCGCTTGCATCAACGGACCGACCATGACGGTCATCAGCGGCAGCAATGAGGAACTCGCCGTGTTGCAGTCGACGCTGCGAGATCGGGGCGTCCATGCGTCGCTGCCCAAGCTCCAACACGACTTCCACTCAAGCCAGCTCGAGCCGCTTCTTGAGCGCTTCGAAGAGGCGGCGAGCAAGGTGCACTTCAGCGCGCCCCGCATCCCCGTCGCGTCTACTTTGCTCGATGAGGTCGTTCGCGCTGGCGACGCTGACGTCTTTGATGCAGCGTACCTCCGCTGCCAGATGCGCGAGCCGGTCGACTTCCTCGGCGCAGTGCGCGCGTGCGAGGCTCGGAAGCTGCCCCAGGCGAACACATTGGCCCTCGAACTCGGCCCTCATGGCAAAATCCGGCACCAACAGGGAGATGGCCACCTTGTATGCTCTCCATCAGGGCCAGGACGGCTTTGGAAGCTTCTCGCAGTGCCTCGCCGCGCTCCATGTGGCAGGCCTACCCGTCGACTGACGCGAATACTACCGGGACCTTGAGCCCGGTCTAAAGCCTCTGAATTTGCCCGTATACGCGTTCGATACCAAGACGTACTGGGCGCCGTATAAGACGAAACGTGCGATACAGGGTACCGAGGTGGTGGCAGAAGCGCCTTCGCAGCGGACGTTGCCGTACGCCTTCCTGCAACGCCTGCATAGCCTCGGCTCGAACGGCGGAAAGACGAGGGCGAGGTTCACTTTGAGCACGACGCATCCCGAGCTGACAACGGCCATACAAGGACACATCGTGGGCGGTGTGGTGCTCTGCCCGGCCAGCGTGTTCGTGGAGATGGCGCACGCGGCGGCATCCCATCTCTTGACATGCACGGGTCCTGCCGGCGAGGGCTCCCATCTCGAAATCCCGGACCTGCAGATGACGCACGCCCTCGTGGTTCACGCAAGGGACGAAGAGTGTCTGATCCACGTCGAGTGTACCATCGACGACAATGCGGACGCGGAGATCTCAGTGGCCTTTAGCTTCACGAGCCCGACGGGCGCATCGGCCAACCACGGCGCGTGCAAAGTGCGTTTCGGTGCGCAACGTCTCTCCAAGGTGCAACAATGGGGCCTCATGCAGAACCTGATACGGCGGCGCGTCGCTGGCCTGCTTGAGACGGCAAAGGACAGCCCGGCGCACCGCATCTCGAGCAACCTATTCTACAAGCTCTTTTGGGCCGAGGTCGAGTACGCCGAGCCGTCGCCTACCAGCTCGCCGTCCCGCAGGCCCGCGCCGTCGACACCGCCTTCATCGCCCGCGCCCGGCGCGTCGTCGCCGAGAACACGAGCGTGCTGCTTGACCCGGGCGACCTCGCCCACGCCGCCGCCACCGTCCGGGCCCTGCACTCTTACACGCCGTGCCCGTTCCCGGCCGCGTGGCGCCCTCTCCGCGCCGCCGTTGTCTGGGCCCGCTGGGGCGTCAACGATAACCCCGACCAGGCGCTGCGCGATCCCGATATGCGCCGCCCTGCGGCCATGTGCCCGACGCTCGCCAAGGCGGCGGACCCGGCGGCCGTCGGCCTGGATGACTTTGAGGCCGAGTTCAAGTCCTGGTTCTGGGGACTCGGCCCAAACGGCTGGGATGCGTTGCTGGGCGGGGAGGTGCTTGGGCACACGGTAGACGGAGGTAATGCTTTCTGACCCTCTTGCACCCTGTATGATTGATGTGACTGACCGGGCTCCTTATAGATCACTTTCGCATGATGAAGCCGCCGTACGCACACTCTCTAAGCGCTGTTGTGACCAGCGAGATTGCCGAGATGGAGAGGTTGAAGTAGGCGGGCGGCGTGTTTCCACTTCGTCTTTTGTCTTTGGCGCAGTATCCTGATAACCGAACCCACCCCGGATAAACCCAAATCATGTGTTGGTATCAAAGTAATTACTGTTTGTTGTGACGCTACATATCGCTTGTTGGCTTGCGCTGTTTGAAAGCTAGCAGTCATAAATCTTTCCACGCCCGTCGTTGCACTTCTGGCGCTCTTCAATCCTGGCTTTGGCCTCGACATAGGCAGCGCTGGAGTTCTCCGCCAGACTTCGACAAGTCTGATAACCCCAGTACCGGAGACCACACAGAGTGGCCCCACGAACAAAACCCTCTTCGTCTCGCCTGAGTTCAAGGTGGAAGTAATCGTCGTGGGTGGCAGCTATGCCGGAATCATAGTAGCATACAACTTCTTGCTGTCTGGCCACAAGACTTCATGCTCGCTGCTCAAGGCCGGACACCGCATCGGCCAAAGCCAGACGCAGGCCTTGCGGAGCGCACCTGAGAAGTTTGCCATGATGGGTATAACTTGGATTAACAAGATAACCCGACCCTTCGTTAATGCTGTATGTGAGTAATTTGGTCAAAAGATTGCGCGTCAATAGACTATGGGCGACATCATCCGCCAAGACTACATCGGAACACTTCACCGAAAGTCTCAGAGCATCTTTCAGGTAGGCTGAAAAGGGCTACTTTGGGAGGTTTTCCCTTGTACTGTTAGACATGATGGCAAATCTACCTAAGCAATCATTTCTCGTAATTGCTCTGCCCTTGTCTCACCTTCAGCCAGCCTTTTCTGCGAATTATTATAACCTATATGACAATGTTCCGTACATAGTCGCCCCCTGAAAGGTACTCACCGCTCGGCTTCGCTAGTGGCTGGCTGGCTTTTGCAATTGTCATGACAGTAAATAGCACTTAAGTGCAGTTATAGCAGTACCAACCGTAGGTCTACTTTTGTTATTACTGTAATAGTTTTCTGTTCAAGACTACGCCAGCGAATATAGATAGAGGGTGCTCAGACAGGGACTGCGGTTCCTGAGTCACTGTGCCTGAAGTGTCTCAATCGCCACCATCTTTTCAGCTGAGCCATTGTCGGAGACTTCACCAGCTCAACCAAGATGCTGCGCAATACTGAGCACATAAAGTGACCGGATTCCTCATGATCTTGCCTGATGCCGGGGCTGCGTTTAGGTAAGACTATCCATCCGGTTGATAGGATATACATATATATATATATACAACTATATCTTAGTGCTAATATGAACCCTAACCTAATTATTAGATGCATGACAGTTGATATTATCTCTGAATTTGCGTTTAGAAGCTCTGACGAATAGAACAAGGCGTCTGCTGCATAAAAGTGGATCCACAATTACCGTGCTGTAATCATGGTTTAATTATATCGCCCCCCAGATCGCTCGTTTCCCAGCGTGCCTGCGTCAACGAAGCTCCCCGAGTTGCAATGGCGGTGCCCGGCTGGCTGCCTCGTGTTGTACCTAAACAAGCGCAACCACTCATTGCGGACGGTAAAGTGGCACCTCCAGGTGCATGTTCTGATCCCAAGCGTGCTTCTACAAGCGCCGCTAAGTTGACATGGGTAGATAATCGTTGGAATGTCGGCGTACACGATGCACACCGATCCATAGATCTGGGGTCCGGATGCCAAATCCTTCAACCCGGCCCGTTGGCTCGGTCCTGACGCAAGGGAGCTTGAGACGAACATATGCACTTTGAGTAAAGGCGCTCGCTCGTCTTTGTCTTGGAATCAAGTAAATAGACCCCCTATACAGGGGTTTAGTATATATACATATAAGCTATATTATAGTTTCTAAAGTAGAGTAGTTGTACCCTTAGTATTAGACGTTAGTCAGGTAGAAGAGACCTATACAGTGTACTAATCTAGAGAGAGAAACATTGACAACCTTAGACGTAACACAATGTACTTCTCTAATTAGAATAAGATTACAATAATTGAAAGGAACTGAGAGTCATTAATTAAAGTATAGTATTCTAATTAGAGTAGACTCTTCTAATTATCACATGTTACTATATCCAATTACAAATTATAGGAAAGGCTCCTGGCTTAACTTAGCTAAAAGGTAGGTCTCTCAAAAAAAAAAAAAAAAAAAGGAAAAGTTCGTGATATTCTCTTGTCTACTTACTTCTAATTAGCCATCTTATACTTGTCCTCCTAATTAGAACTATCCTACTCCTTTACTGACTTCCTCTAATTAGGACTTCTAGTAATATAGTAGAGCCAATTGCCCTACCCTGTTCTAGTATTTAAACTAACAGTTCCTGCCTAATGTCTGGTTGGGGTAGTTGTTTTGCCTGGTGTAGTTGGTGCGTCGGCTGGGTCGGCCGGCTCATCGGCCGGCTCATCTGGAGTAGTTGTTGTCTTGCCTGGCTTAGTTGTCTTGCCTGATGTAGTTGGTGCCTCGCTTGAGTCAGTTGGGTCGGCTGGCTCATCGGCTGGCTCATCTGGAGTAGTTGTCTTGCCTGGCTTAGTTGTTTTGCCTGGTGTAGTTGGTGCATCGGCTGGCTCATCGGCCGGCTCATCTGGAGTAGTTGTCTTGCCTGGCTTAGTTGTTTTGCCTGATGTAGTTGGTGCCTCGCTTGAGTCAGTTGGGTCGGCTGGCTCATCGGCTGGCTCATCTGGAGTAGTTGTCTTGCCTGGCTTAGTTGTTTTGCCTGGTGTAGTTGGTGCATCGGCTGGCTCATCGGCCGGCTCATCTGGAGTAGTTGTTGTCTTGCCTGGCTTAGTTGGCTTGCCTGATGTAGTTGGTGCCTCGCTTGAGTCAGTTGGGTCGGCTGGCTCATCCGCTGGCTCATCTTGAGTAGTTGTCTTTGGCTTAGTTGTCTTGCCTGGTGTAGTTGGTGCCTCGCTTGAGTCAGTTGGGTCGTCGGTTGGCTCATCTTGAGTAGTTGTCTTTGGCTTAGTTGTCTTGCCTGGTGTAGTTGGTGCCTCGCTTGAGTCAGTTGAGTCGTTGGTTGGTTCATCTGAAGTGGTTGTCTTTGGCTTAGTTGTCGTGCCTGGTGTAGTTGGTGCCTCGCCTAGGCCGGTTGAGTCGTCGGTTGGTTCATCTGAAGTGGTTGCCTTTGGCTTAGTTGTCTTGCCTGGTGTAGTTGGCGCCTCGCCTAGGCCGGTTGAGTCGTCGGTTGGTTCATCTGAAGTGGTTGCCTTTGGCTTAGTTGTCTTGCCTGGTGTAGTTGGTGCCTCGCCTAGGCCGGTTGGGTCGTCGGTTGGCTCATCTGAAGTGGTTGCCTTTCCTGGCTTAGCTGGCTTGCCTGGTGTAGTTGCTGCGTCGCCTGGCGTAGTTGCTGCGTCGCCTGGTGTAGTTGCTGCGTCGCCTGGTGTAGTTGATGCGTCGCCTAGGCCGGCCTCGCCGCCGGTTGTGCTGGCCTCGCCGCCGGCGCCGGCGCCCATATCCCCCCCATTCCCCCCCCATTCCCCCCATCGATGGATCCATTCCCATTCCTCCCATTCCCATTCCTCCCATTCCCATTCCCATGCCGGGCATTGCCATTGGGATTGCCATTGGGAGCGTTGCTCCTATGCCTTGTCCAATGCCCGAGGAGCCTAACCCGCCTCCGCCGCCGCCCATATTTTGCATGCCTGGGTCGACCGGCATGCTTGGCTCTTTTGGGTTGACCGGCGCGCTTGGCTCTTTTGGGTTGACCGGCGCGCTTGGCTCTTTTGGGTTGACCGGCTCGCTTGGCTCTTTTGGGTTGACCTGTGCGCTTGGGTTGTTTGGGTTGGCCGGCACGCTTGGGTTGTTTGGGTTGGCCGGCACGCTTGGGTCTTTTGGGTTGACCTGTGCGCTTGGGTTGTTTGGGTTGGCCGGCACGCTTGGGTTGTTTGGGTTGGCCGGCACGCTTGGGTTGTTTGGGTTGGCCGGCACGCTTGGGTTATTTGCGTTGGCCGGCACGCTTGGGTTGTTTGCGCTGAGCGGCACGCTTGGTTCGAGCGGCATGTCTCGGTGGTTTGGCGCGGTTGGTATCTTGGGCTTCCTCCTGAATGGATTTCCAAATCTAAACGGATTTCTAAATATTGACGGACTTCCAAAACTTCCAAACCTCAACGGGAGGGCATCCACGAAAGCAAGCGAGCAAATAAGAATGATGAGCGGGTATAAGGAACGCATGTTAGAGAGTTGATAAGGCGAACCGGGGTGATACAAGAACGAGCGACAGTCAGCGAGTGACAACAGAAGGAGAAACAAACAACAGGCAGGTCGATGCTGCGCTTGATTTGGTGGATAACGGTAAGGCTGGATTGTGTCCCTAGAGATATCTGGAACAATATATATATATATATATATTTGCTTGAAGTCCAGCTTCCTAATACCTACTGTACTCGGCGCTGGAGGGGAATTGACACGAGGCTTGCGCAATCGGAGTCTCCGGTAGGTGTATCCGTGAAAGTTCTCCAATCTCAGCTGAACCCATCCATTTTATGCGTGCATAGCCAATTGCATGAATCCTTGGGACATTTCCTCTCCCACATCCCTGCGCGCGAACCTCTTTTAATTACAGCAGCCCCAAAGATGAACCCACAAAGAAGCACATTTAATAGCGTCCTATTGAAATTAGGTAAGATGCATCTAAATTTCAGGCTGCTATTAATTTAATTCGGTGCAGTAGAACTCTATAGTCTATTGTGCATCTAGATGCCGTTAAGAGCTGTATGCCAACCAGACTACGTTAACTAAACCCCTGACTTACTAATAGCCATTTAACATTTAAGACAGTAGGTGAAAAACCAGCGATATAATGCCAGCAGCTCCTTGGCCTTAGGCTTTGGTTGACAATCAAGAATCCAAGTCAAAAGTCCGTTCTGTTTTAGCGCTTTTAGGTGGTAGAAGAAACATCCTGCAAACCAAACTTTACAAAACATCATGCCTTCTAATATTGAACGCAAGTCACAGGTAATCATATTTTTTTGTTGTGTACCCACACTAATGCTCAACACTACTAATCACAGATCATTTTAGGTGGTAAGCCCGCGGCGCAAGTGATAGATGCTAGATTATGGGGCATATAAGATCAACTATTAAGTACCTAGGATTTTACTAAGGTGTAGTGCCCTACACATAAGGCTAGCTATGGGATCGGACTTGCCGAAGGAAAAATCTATAATAAGCGGGCACACCCAATTAGATTTACTATAAGCTACTATGCTTCACATAGTCCTCCTGGTCATAAATTATCGTTCTAGTGGTAATTGTTATCTTAATTAATTGTTTGTAATACATTAAGTGTTAATAACTATTCTTTGTTAGGTCATTTTACATAGGGTTATAGTGTAATAATAGAAACAGTTTAGAATGTGAGCAAAGTCTTACAAATTGCGTCAGAAGATTGTTAGATTAATATAAGCTACCTTAGCCATAGAAGTTTCAAGTCAGTCGTTAGTCCCAGTCCCCCCCCCTAGGTTTGACACGTTGTTCTTTATTTGTGATCTATTGGCACAACAGTAGAGCCTGCCCACGTCACGCGATAAGTGTTACAAAATGCTCCTGCTTCCTCAGCCGGCGTACATATCCCACTGCAGCGCTGGCAAACGCTAGATATCTTCCTTCTTCATCATCCACCAATACAGCAACAGTTACGCCTATCAGTTGATTCACCTTTCCTAAGATACTAACATCACTATTTAGACTTGAGATAGCAATGTGTATGATAAGCTTATAGGGCGCATTTCGGCCAAGAGAATGGCTGACTTGAAAATGGCACCGGCAAACCCTTCTCGGCCAGCCACTGCAGAGAACACTAGCTCCGATGGTCTCAGTCACATTCCCCAGAGATGTTTAATGGGTCTGGCTAAAAATGCGAGAATGTCACGTTCTCGAGCTATTAGTACTCAGCTTGTCAGGGATAAAAGAGCGGATCTTTGATTGTTTTACAAGAAGGGATTTTAGCGTTGTGTTTGTGCTAGCGATGAGAGAAAGGTAATGTGTTAGGGTTTGTTAAATGTAATTATTAACAAGTCCGCTAAGGTGGATGCGTCTTGATCTTTACTATTGCGGCCGATCCGCTTCAGACGCCGCGCCATCTTAACAAATTCAGCAACGAAGAGGTACTTTTGAATAATGCACCCATCAGTTTGTCACAAATCTTTCAAACATGCACATCCACATAAAGTAAAGTAAACAAGGCCCATCGCTGTGTCGCTTCCCAACTGTCAACAAAATGATCACCTATGCCAACATCCTAAGCATATGTTAGAGGATTGCCTCATGCACTTAGCAGTAAAACGCTGCATCCACAACCGACTACTTGAGGACTTTGGAGGTTATTTATTCGAACGAGCCAAAGGAACTTCTACGCAAACAACGCCTTGATGATTTCTATAGCACTTTTATCAAACTCTCTCACCCGCTACTACAGTCTATATTAAATGGCAGGGAAGAAAAGCTTATTATCTAAAAGAGTCCTAGCAGACATGACCATGAGGAGGACCCAGCAGCAATGTATATTATTATTCTTGATACGACCCGATCAAACAGGCGAAGGTTACCTTTTAACAATATCACTTGATTTGAACGCCAAGGAATAATCGATTGCCTGGTTGACAATGATTGGTAAAACTCGAACGCTTGGAACATATGAGGATATCGGAAGAGTCACAGCCGGCATATGTCTTGTCTGTGAATTTTAAGGATAATGAACGAATAAGAGAGGAGAGTTTAATTCTTTTCTAGGTAGATAGTTTTTTTTTTTACGGTTTTTTCTTTTTTTACGGGCTCTCTAAGATCCCTACAGTCACTATTGCTCATATGTGTAGTAAACTATTACCTATATAGCCTTCTATATACAGACTCAGGTAACAGGGCCTTACATGAAAACTAGAGTGTCTAAATCTGACCTGAGACATGTTGACTCTTCTCTTGGTATCGATAGCTGAGTCATTGATACAGGGACTAAGCTGTTTTCACACAGGCTCGCAGTTTGTTCCCGGCCTCTTCCATATAGGCACCATTGGTGACAATAGGGGCGAATCCTGCAGTAGTTGGATGAGCGCGATAAACATCCTCATCATTGCCCATCTTCAGTGTCGTAACGCCGCGGAACAGGGTGGGAAAATTTTCAGGCGACGACCGTTCAGTAAAGAAGGATTTGCTGAGAAAAAAGGTTGTTGAGCTGTTCCACCTTATTGGTAACCATGAAGTCTAATTCGTTCTAGTGTAACACGACTGACGGTGCGCACAGAGATCTGAGTTGAGGAACTTAAGGAAAAAAAAAAGTTATGTCAAGGATAAGCAGGGTTGTAGCAAAAGAGAGAAGTACGAACTGAAGCAGGGGAACATCCTTGAGGAGTCAGCTTGAAAGACTTTTCGTAACAGTATTAAGAGAAGTGCAATGAAACTAATTGAGTAACGTTTTGCAGAAATGGTAGGTTAATGCATGGGTAGTGAGCTAGTGAGTGCTTTGTGTAGGAGGAGCTGGCTTGGTTTATATACCACTAGGGCAGTAGAGTACGTAATCCTATCTAGCTAATTCTGGAATATCGAAAGCACATGAGCGTTAAGGCCTAATGAGAAATCTTGACACTGGAATTAAATTAACATAAAGTTAACAAAATCCATGGATATAGCATTAGAAACTAGGCTGCTCAAGTCTTAGATTAAGACTAGTCGAGGAGCTAGTTACACAGGTCCTATTGAGGTAGTAACATTAACAACTAGTACTTATTAGAAAAAGATTACAGAGGAAAAATACAGACTTTTTCTAGGTGTTTACTAATTTTAATTACAGACCAGACCAGGATCTCCTCTTACTTAGCACAGCAGGCATGCAGGAGAAGAGAACCCAGAAATATCAGCCTACGATCTTATGGCTAGCTAATGACGGTATTGTGGCTGTCGGAACAGGCCAGGAGATAGCGGGGTTATACGGATAGAAAAGCGAGTGAACCAAGAAATTTTATGTATGTTCTTAAGATAAGAAAGGGGCGTGAGCTTGGCCAGCTAAGAGATTAAGAGTATCTCATTTACAAATTAACTTCTGAAACTTTATAGAGAGAAGCTATTGGATCAGATCGAAAAAGGCTAGGTCTTTCAGGAAAAGGCCAATTAAAGACAGTAGTTTATCATTATATTCCAGTCAACACAGGCTAGATAAACTTCACACAAGCGTAGGATCTAACGCATCTGATATACATGCCCAAGGATTCTGAAGTTGTAAATGTTGTTAAGTAAATATTAGGAGATAAGCCGACACGCGTCTTATTAATTTCGCTAGTACATCGTTCTGTTTGACCCACTGCGAGGCAATTAAAGTGTCCCAGTGTGAAGCAGTCAAAAGAGTATAACAGACCAAGTTGCAGCATACACTGGAAACCAAGTACTGATATTTGTATGTCGGTATGTGATTGGTAACGAGCCTCCTATTGTAACCGCTTACTGCCTTAATATCTGTATGCTCTGTAGTTAACCTGATGACGTATTATAGGGGCGATTGTATGACTGTGTGAGGTTACATTAGCTGTAAACTTATTGGTTGTAGCAAAAACTTGGATTTCTCTACTAACTAAGAACTTTCCCATCAACGATTACGTCTTCAGGAAAAAGATGGATAATACAATATGAGCAGGGTTATCTCCATTATTTGTAACGCAGACGTAGAATGGTGTATCCCCCGTTCCAATAGTAAAGCTTCCACTACCACCACCAGTCGATCCATCCGCTTGGAAAAGAAATGGTCCAGCACTTGAATCTGGACCAACGGTAAATTTGCTCACAGGTGAATCCAACTATTGTTTACTATCAGCTTTGTAATATTCAGTTAGGAAGACTTGTTACTCACTGTGAACTGATACTGGAAACTAGTTTGGCCTCCTGCAATAATATCCACATCAATACTTGCTGGGAAACAAGTAATTTGGCCGCCGGAAATATTAGATTTATCTAATGACATGACTGTTACGGGGCTCGCAGTGGGTGCGGGGGGAGGGGGAGGAGGCGCCGTTGAGCTGGGTGTCACAGTAGACGTGGGTTGAGAGGGAGCAGATGAAGCGTCGTTGTTCAAAGGGCCGTCGCCAAATGTGAGACCAGAAAAGAACGGTGCATTAACAGGATCGTTTGCATTGATGGATTTGTCTCTGAAATCGGTGGTTCCGCTAAGGCTCCTTGGCGAAGAGGAACAGGTTGGAGCTGCCGAGGAGGTTGTTGACTGGGTCGAGGTTGTCGACTGGGATGCGGATGTAGAGCTTGGTGCTTCTGCTGACGTTGATTTTACCGGTGGCTTATTGCCTTCCTCTTCATCGTTGAATGTTGATCCAGTAACCGTTATAGTTTGGCCAGCGGCGATGGGTATCGTTTTCCCATTCAATGTGATAAAGCCTCCCCCGACACCCCCTGTTACTGTCATACCAACGACGACAGGAATTGTGTCGCCATTCGAGACAGTTTCTTTAGCACGTGCAGATACCGTTGGCTGTGGAACAGTGTTGGACAGGGTGAAACTAGGCAAAAGAGTTGACGTAGGAGCTTTTGTTGGCCGAAAGGCGGATGAGGAAGTACGCCGAACACGGCGAGATTTAATGGTAAAGGAAGAGTTTCTTGCCATGGAAGTGAGGCTCGAGGAAGAAGGCTGAGGCGTAATTGAGGGATGGCGACTAGTGGTGGGGTTGCCTGACGCTTCTGATATGGACAGAGACAGCTCATTTTGACGACGCACCACAGGTCGTCGACAGGCTTGAGATTGTGGTTTTGCCCGCTCCGGAAATGTCAAAGCATCAAGTGCAAACAGAGGATAGTTCTGGGCGTTCCGAATCTTATCAGCAGCCGGAAGAGCGGCACAGCTGTTGATGCTTAGCTACATTCGAGAAGCGAATCTATCACGATCAAGACTCACCAGCCCGGAGAGTAGCAATCCTCCCCACTACCTGCGTTTGGATCCTGTACGTCATCGGCCTTGGGACTGGGAGACGTTGCTTTGCGCATATGTTGAAGCTCGTGAAGTAGGATAAATCCTTGCGACTGCGGTTCGATCGTGAGCTCGGTTTTCCAGGCTTGTACCATCTGGTCAATGGTGGTAGTTGATTGAAAGAATTTCGGGCAAAGAGCAAGTATTGTGGGTCCCGTAGGCTGAATACTGCCATCAGCATTCTGAATGAACTGCGATACTGTGGCAGCGTTTGTCTCTGGGTCACAAATGTCTCCAGAAGTCTGGGTGAGCGGTGGACACGCATAAACGAGGGAATCAAGTGATGGTGGACGATCTTGAGGGAGGACTTTGTAGATGATCTCGCCGTTATCGAATGCAATCCCAGCTAGTTTACTAGGGAAAAGGAAATGGGTCATGGCAGGTTTGAAATGTTCATTGAGAAGCTCAGTCAACGTCCGAGGATTTGCGTTGCCTAATAGCTCTTAGCTCTACGGTTTATCACTATTATAAAGGGTGATTACTTGCCAGCACCGAACCAATTCTCATATGTGTCTGATGTTTCTGAGCCAGCCACTTCCAGCACGTCGATGGCCGCTTGAGCAAGTCGCTGGGCGTCGGCAATAGCTGGTTTAAGCGCTGATAGGGCCGCCGGGCTGCACGCCCATTGGCCCTGTCCAATGAAGTAGGCAGCATCATATTTGTCATTAAAGTCGCGTCCTAGGTGTAAATGGTGATGCACCTTTGAAAATGAAGCTGCCACCGCCAGGGTGAATAGAGACCATAAGAAAAAGAGAGGCTGTAGTTGACACATTTGCAAAGTGGTTTCATTGGAAGGTGCGAGCAGGGAAAAAATCAAAACTCACGTGGCGAAAAGAAGTCTTAAAAAGAGAAAAAGAACCTACGGTTGATACAATGAGCTGTGACTTAGTTACCTATGTACGTTACATTGTTCAACACTCCCAAGAATTTGGCTGGGTGCTCAAACACTAGGGGTGGAGGCACCTCTTTGTTCCTAACGACCTTCTGGATAGTATGTGACCACCTGACAAGTTTCAGGCGATGCAGCCCCACCGCGCAAAGTGGTATAGGTGGCATAACCCTTGAAAGCCCTAGTCGTACGGATAACTCCTTACAAGTGGAAGAACTACGGAGTATACTATATAGGTCATGTAATAAGAACTAGACAGCCATGTGTTCTAGGCTGAGGACATCACGATGCAGGGATCATAGCAACCCCATCAACCAAGGATAAGCCCTAGTCAAGGCCTTATTAATAGCACACCACAATAATCTTATTTCTGGTGATTCTTTTTACAGTTGTGTCCTCTTGCGTAGCGTGTAGTAATACTAATACACACCTCTTAAGAATTAGGTACAACCGGCGAAATTGGTTATAAAGGCTAGCGCTGCTTCATTCGTAGGATTAGATGCTACCTTACGCTTGCTACTATACACTAAGGTACTTGGGGTTTTATTACAGTGAGTAATCTAACAGCTGACGGTCTCTCTAGCATATGCCCGGTTCGCCCCTAGAAATAACATATTCTATTACTTGAACCCTTATATTTGGAGGTATGGTAAGTGATCAGGGACAATTAGGACCCAGATTTGGAACTCAAATTGGTTGCAATGGTTTCAGTTAAAATATGTAGGTTTCAGCCTTCTTCTTGGTCCGGCGAAGAGGCAGAGAAAATACCAAAGTGGAGTGGCCAATCATTAACTACCGTTCCATCTAGATCGACAGATATACAATCTATAAGGGGCACTCCACAAGTGGGCTGAATGCATGACTGTAATATTGACGATTACTCATTAATATCTCTGACTTTATTGGGACGGATATCTGCGGTTCTTGGGATGCATTGTTTCACATATCCGAACTGCCGGTGCATGACTCGGCCTAAGTAATAGGATAGCCCAGAGTCTGGGGACACTACAAACCGTAGCTTGAAGGACAGTAGTAATTCTAGACATAGAGCTAACAGCATCAAGCTTATGGAAGACTATAGTTTGTGTTGTAGACCCTGGTCAATTTGAGATATGGTACCTCTGGTTGTGCGGTAGCGTGAGATAACTAGGGAGTAGATTGCTGCCTATAGCGATACCCTCCCGGCTAATAGGTTGCTTTTGCTTTCCTAAACTGTTATAACTATGGTGAGATATACCATAGTCTTATGGTGTTTGTCTAATTTATTAAAGTTTATAACTATCTTACTCTATATATGATTTTGACAAAGAAAAGTCTACAGAATAGAGGATTAGATAATACAGAAGAAGGTATATATGATAAAGAAGGCTTCATAGTAGTTAAAACTGCACCGAGTAAATGTCGCATGTAAGAGAGAACATGCTGTGTCTCTACTTGTTAGTAATAGTGCTAGTCATCGAACTGAGGGGCGTGTTCTCTACGGAATATATCACTTACGAGACAACCCATTTCAGTGACCAGATATCAGGAAAGAAGGTAGACATAAAATGGCATGCCTGTTAGAGCAGCTGTAATTCTTCTTAACAAACTGCAAACAAAATGGTAGATATAAGTATGTGGATGTAAGCGGTCGCGGCTTAACATCTCAAAGAGAGTATAACTCCAAGTCACTCTTCAGTTTCTTCGATTTTTGTATTTCAGTTCTCATTTAAGAGCAAAATAAAAATGCGTTAAGTTAGAGTCACAAGCCACGAATAAGACTACACTAAAGTTTGTACAGTGGGAGTGCCTGAATCACAACTCTATTGGATTCCCAGGGGGGTCGGCGGCAGCGTCGGATCGGGATATAATGTATGGCCACAAGGCACAACCGGTTTCCATGGAGGAACGAAGAAAGACTGGAATAGCGACTGCACATTCTTTGAAACCTTTACTCTATGCGATTGCAGCTTCTGACCTTCTTACTATGACGAATTATGCTTTAGGACGTAAAAATATCTAACCCAGTAACATCCATTCAAACTCCAATTTTGTTTTAGTAATATTCAATCGGCACTTCTTATTAACGCTAGAATTCTGTGGATAGAGCACTGAACTTGCAGACATAACTGATATTGGCTTAAGCCAGCACCTCCGTCAAGGCCGGGACCTCTTTCTGATTGATGCCGACAGAAATGCGAATCGGTTCTTGTTCTCAGCCATGGAAGAGCTGGCTGAAATCCTCGAGGTCGAAAATGCAAACTTGCCCCTTTTGTAATAGGGAGACTGACTCTACTTAATTTCTACAGCACTAGATTGATACACACCTCAAGAGCCTCATGATTATTTAGTCTAGTGTTAAGGAACTCGATACTTAATTCAAAGTACCTACTTTCTGATTACCACTATATTATGATTACCTAAATACAATGCTGTTATAATGACTACTACTTGATTTAATCAAATACTAATATTGTCTAAGCACTTTATTTAGTAATATAGCTTTTAGCCTTACTAAGTAATTTTAATATACTAGATTTATTTATATTACTCTTAAATTTCCTTATATTATACAGTAATCAATGACCTAGTAGGGCTGCTTGGATTGTAATATACTGTTATATAAAGGGAGAGATAATTGGTACCTATAGTATGGGCAAAATACTATATGAATAGAAGTACCTTGAAACTATTAGCTATTAGCGTTAATTGCTGTGGCCTGATTTGCCTCTACCTCTCACGGGGGCTAGTAGGGTCTGTTTGTCACTAAAGGGATACAGTCCTTGTGTAACGTAAAACTTGTGGTTTTGCCTTGCCTATACACGAATCGTTAATGTAGTGAGGATATGGTGAAGGTAGGGAAAACAGGAGATAAAACAGGGGTTAGACTCTGTAGATTAAACATAGAATAGGGCTGTAGGGGGCCTCTACTTGTTAAGATCAGTAGCGTCTGTGTTGGCTATTTCTTGACCAACCCCTCCTGGATCTAATGATTTAGCCCCGACACTTCCCTGAACGACGCCTGTTCTATCTCCAGCCGATCCAACAATGCTATGGGTAGTGGTCTCTGGTCATAGGACAGGACAGGCTGGGGAGAGGATGCGATCGCTAGCTACCCAGAAGCCGAGGCGCTCCAGTCACCGTCGGCGGGCGATAAACATGACGGGAGGAGAATCCGGGGATCGCGCGATGTAAGTCCTGTCAGCTCAGACAGCGGGTCAGAGCGGTTCGTCCAGGCGAGAGATAACCTCCGGGGGCATGTTTGGCCCAGTATCCTACAGCATTTTCAGAGGCAAGCGCCCACTAGTGCGCGTAAAGCTCGAGGATCTGCTTCTTCGGCCACTCTAGTGCCGCCGCGAAGACCGGAAGTCCAGCCAGCCGCATTTCGGCCGCATCGAGGAGGTGCCGCGACCACCCCTGGAAGAACCAGTAGATGCGCTCGACGGCACACAGGAGGACGGCGAAGTGGGAGACGAGGACCATGGCGTGTGGGGCGGCCGTCTGGACGTCGGCCATGACGCCGTCCGAGACCCTGTACAGCCAGAAGACGACCATGCTGATCTCGGGGCTGGCGCCGGCGTGGGCGACGAGGCAGGCGACCTTGCGCAGCTCCGTTACGGCGACGGCGTAGTCGTCGCGCGCGTCGCCCTCGAGGTGATCCTCGAAGAAGGCGGCGAGGCGGCTCAGGGCCTCGAAGATGTCTCTCGGCAGGGGGGAGTGGTGTAGGGCCGGGTTCCTGGGCAGGATAGGGCGGTCAGCGTCCCCGAAGGTTCTCCGCTAATACACGCCCTCACACATGAACGCGGCTGAGGAACTTACTCGTACTCAGGATCGCCGGGCTCGACTGTCCAGGGGCCTTCGACCAGAGGCGCCAGCTTCGTCCTTCCCAGTCTCTCCTGGTAGGGCTCGAGAATGGTCCTCACGCCCCGGACGAAGACAAAGAGGGCCGTGATGTCGGGGACGTGCCTGCCGCCGCCGCCGTCGTGCGCCGGGACGCAGGCGACGTAGAAGGTGACGAGGGTGGCGAAGCAAAAGAAGGGCTGCCAGTTGGTCTCGTCGATGGTGTGCAGCAGGGCGCGGAAACCCTCGAGGCCGGCGTCCAGGTGGCTCGTCGCCAGGTCGAGGTACCGGTCCCGTTCCGGGGGTAGGAGGTAGGCCTTGTGCAGAGCGGCCATGGCGAGGATGCCATGGGCAACGAAGGGGCAGTCGTAGCCTATCTCAGGCACGATGACGCGCCAGACGTGCTGTGTTTTGTGGCGCAACGAGATGGTGTTGGCGGTATGCAGGGTGTAGTGATGCATCAGCTCTAAGCCGTGGCCCCAGAGCTTGATGGTCGGCTGCTGCGGTGTGGGTTCGGCATGGCTGATTACCACGTCGAGAAACTGGTACGGCGTTTCCGGGCTTGAACTGCTGGTCGACTGCGTGAAAGATGGCGAATGGTGAGTGGTGCGGGACGGAGAGGCCCCCGAGGTTGATAGACTGCACGGAATGCCATGTCTGGTGCAATTGAAGCAGGACGGATAGGCCTCGTCGCACTGACAGGGTGGCTAGTCAGTGCCAGTCACATGGCCGGTGAGCGCAGAAGCGGAGGACTTGCCTTGACTTTCCGCCGCTTGCAGTCTCTGCAGCCGTTGCGCGACTTGGTATGGGAGCGACGGGTGACCATTGGGAAGAGGCCCGCTGGGACGGAGGACCGTTGCTAATTCAAGGTTTCGGACGCAAAGTCTCAGCGCATAAGACCGGGTCTCGGGTGACGACGGCGTTAAAGTGTTGGCGTGGGGGCTTGTTCGAGCCGCTTGTGGCAAGCCGATTCGTGAGAGAAGTGCCGGTACGAACACGCGGATTCACTCTCATTAAAAAAGAAGGATTAAACTGAGAGGCAAGGGGAGCAGCGAGCAGAGCCAAGGCACGACGTTCAGTCGATGGAGCCGATGGGGTCTATGGAGGGCATGTCAATATCAGGGGGTTAGGTTGTTACAAAAAGGAAAGGAGTAAAGAAGGCACTGCTAATAGGCAGGTACCGGTAGATAATTTGAGTGAATTTGTAGCCTCTGATTAGCTAGCTAAGTTGTTATGGGTTGACCTGCAGGTACTTGACAATGGGGTTAAACTTTGGCCTGAGTGGGGTAGTAGTGTACACTTGTATTTCTCTTAGCGATCCTGTTCAGGAACGAAAGAAAGGTTTAGATAAACGAGGAACGAAGACAGGAGAATATGGATACGAATGAGCCAGCGCTAGCAATTTTAGCGTCTTGGCAATCACAGGGCGCAGCAGGAGCCGACTGCCAGTGACAGAAGCAAGCTGCTTGCATGACTTTTCCCCTGCAGAAACAGCTTTTTGCCTGACACGTGCGTCGCCGAAATGCCGACCTCGATCTACGATTGGAGAAACCCTGTGAAATTGTGGCACCTGGTGAGGAATGTATGCCGGTAGGCTAGTGCTAAATGCGACAGTCCGCACATGTGCCCGGGTTTTTGGTCGCCTATTCACAGCCACTTCTTCACAGCTAATACCTATGTGTCTCTTTACAGCCATCTCTTTCCACAATGACATGTGATGACCTTCGCAAGCTAATGGAGTAGGATGATTTGCCCCTGGCACCTTCGTATACCCGTTAAGGCGGTGCGATAGAGCTCGTCGGCTTCCTCGAATTGATTTTGTCCCTGATGGAGGCAAGCGAGGCAGTAGGTAGATGCTACTGAGTGTCCGGCTGGTCCTGGCCCAGTGCCTTTTCACGCCCATCAAGCGCCCGTCGGTACATCTGCTCCCTGGTACTGCAGGAAAACAGTCCGTCACGCAGTTCACGCTTGAAGCCTCTCGCGAGATATCAACCTCCAAGTCTTTGTATTGATATCCTTTTAGTTATCCGCACACTTGACGAATTAATCGACCCAGCAGAGGCTGATCTTTAAGGGTATGAACTAAAAGCGATACTCCTATTGTTGTTCGGAGAGGTGTTGAAGCCATTCAGCTGCTATGCGACGTGGGTGCGCCGCGCTACAGGGGCAATACCGTAATCACTCGCGAGATCTTAAAGGAGCCTGCTAACGGCAAGGAGTATCGTGGCCGCTGTAAGTATAGTGTGCTGGCAGAAACAGGGATCTGTATATATCAATTTTCTTACGTAACAGCTGTGTTTTTACTAACAGTGGGCTGGCTGGTGGGCACAGAGGATGGAAAGGGTGACCGCCTTCTATGGTAGGACTAGCGTAGGTGATGTCTACTAGCCGTTATAGGATATCTGCTAGCTTTCTTTGGCTAGCGGGTCTCTTAGCCTTGTCCGGATCTCGCGAGTGTGTACGGTAGTTGAATGTAGAGTGGCTCACGCTAAAATCCGCGTCTGCAACGTATTGAGACGCACATTTTTCGACCATCTGGATAGCATTATCAATTGTGCGTTCATCCCAGCCCCCAGTTAACTCAGCATTAGTAACCATCACCTGGTGGCTAGTACTGATGTGGTAGAAAAACGTTCGGGTCAATTCAATCCGCTTGCCCAACAACATGGCCCAACGGCGGGGATACGAGTTTGCCGAGACACAACCGTATTCCCCCGCATTCACAGCTACCCTGTCTTCTGCACAGCGTGACACCCACATGGGTCCATCCGTCATGTGCTCGCTCATCCATTGCGGAGAGACTGCGTACAGGCAGCTAACCTCGTGAGGGAAGTTCTCAATTTCCGATGCAGAGCCCGTCTGATGTGACGATACTGAAAGGACTCATATTCCGGAAGAGGCGGCTATATATTTAAAGGGCGATCGATGGCGAGTGATGGCCACATCTTTCCTTAATCCCTCTGTGGTCTTCTTACTCTCCTAGCACCTGTACGTCTAAACCGCAAGTGTATTGTCTGTCTTTTGATTCTCCTCTTACTGTAATACACGACAATGAAAGTTGAGTTAGGCTGCGTGGCTGTGCTTACAGCCCTGGCTCCTATAGGTGCTTCGGCCCAAGGTAGCTCCTGGGAAGATGCCTACGAGACAGCCGCGGCTGCTGCCGCAAAGCTATCACTGGACGAGAAGGTCGGCATCGTGAGTGGCGTCGGCTATGGAAGGGGTGTCTGCACCGGCAACAACCACGGTGCCGACACCATTGGTTTTCCTTCTCTTTGTCTACAGGACGGACCCCTCGGTGTCAAAGGTACCAAGTCGGCGACAGCATTCACGCCTGGTATTCAGGCTGCCTCTACGTGGGATGTGGACCTTATCCGGCAGCGTGGGCAGTTCCTGGGTGAAGAGGTACGTCATACGCCAGCGTGTGCACCTTCAAATTGCTTGTCTCACTAACACCGTCGTAATCTTCCTAGACCAAGGCCCTCGGCGTCAACGTTCTCCTCGGTCCCTCAGCCGGTCCGCTCGGCAAGCACGCACTGGGGGGACGTAACTGGGAAGGGTTCAGCCCAGACCCGTACTTGAGCGGTGTCGCGATGTACCAGACAGTCGCAGGGATGCAATCCGCTGGTGCCCAGGCGTGCGCCAAGCATTGGATTCTGAACGAGCAGGAATTCGACCGAACTTACATTTCGAGCAACCCGGATGACCGTACTGTCCACGAACTGTACGCCTGGCCGTTCATGGACGCCGTGAAGGCCAATGTGTCCTCGTTCATGTGCAGTTACAACAAGGTCAACGGCGTATATAGCTGCGAGAACGACTACGTCATGAACGAGCTTCTAAAGGACCAGCTCGGTTTCAAGCACGGATACGTCATGTCGGATTGGAACGCCGTAACTTCTACAGTACAGGGCGCCAACAATGGGCTCGACGCAGTCATGCCTGGGAGCGACTACTATGGCGGAATCATTTACTGGGGCCCGCAACTCAAAGCGGCCGTTGAACGTAACGACGTGTCTCAGGAACGGATTGACGATATGGTTCAACGCATCCTGACTCCGTGGTACGCTCTCAGCCAAGATCGAGGCTATCCTGCCCTTGACCTCAACAGGGATGTTCAGGCGGACCACAAGACCAACGTCCGCGCAGTGGCCAGAGACGGCATTGTACTCCTGAAGAACGAGAACGATACGCTACCTCTGCCCCTGAAGAAGCCGTCCCGTATTGCTGTTATTGGCACAGGCGCTTTCAAGGGCAGGCACGCTAACAACGGTCCCGATTGCGATAACAAGTTCTGCAATGACGGTGCTATTGGCATGGGATGGGGTTCCGGTAGCGATAACTACCCGTACTTTGTCGCTCCCTTCGACGCCATATCCGCCCGTGCCACGACTGATGGTATCACGATCTCTCAGAGCAACTCTGACAATATTACAGAGGGTGCTGCTGCAGCCAAGGGTGCCGATTTCGCTCTTGTCCACATCACTGCCGTTTCTGGCGAGCAGTACCTGCCCACTGGGGTGGAAGGCATCATTAGCGACAGGATCGACTTCGACCCGTCGCACAACGGAAACGCCCTGGTCAAGGCCGTTTCCGAGGTTAATGAGAACGTCGTCGTAGTCGTACACACCGTGGGACCCCTGGTCCTGGAGTCGATCTTGTCTAACCCTTCAGTCAAGGCTATCGTTTGGGCAGGCCTACCCTCATCGGAAAGCGGGAATGCGCTTGTCGACGTGCTCTGGGGCGATGTTTCACCCTCTGGGAAGCTAGTATACAGCATCGCTAGGCAGGCCGCCGACTACGGTACTTCTATTTCTATCTCGGGTACGGACGACTTCGCCGAGGGTCTCTATATCGACTACCGCCACTTCGATAAGGAGAATATCGAGCCGCGGTACGAATTCGGCTTCGGTCTCTCGTACACGAAATTCAACTTCACCGATCTTGGCACAGCCCTCACGCCTGATTCTAGATCCGGACCAACCACGGGCCCCATCGTCACCGGTGGTCCATCAGACCTTTGGAATATCGTGGCCACGGTGACTGCGAATGTGACCAACATTGGTGAAGTCCGAGGTGCCGAGGTCGCGCAGCTGTACATCACTTTGCCCTCGTCTGCCCCGACTACCCCGATTCGTCAGCTCCGTGGCTTCGACAAGTTGCCTTTGGCTCCTGGCCAAACTGGCACCGCCACCTTCCTGCTTACGAGACGTGATCTAAGCTTCTGGGACACCAATAGTAAAAAATGGGTTATGCCTACCGGCACTTTCGGTATCAGTGTTGGAGCTAGCAGTAGAGACTTGACACTACAGGGCACTCTACAGATTGATTAAAAAACATAGTTAACTGTTCTCGTAAAGGTCTTTGAATCATGGGCGATTTCTTGTGCAGGACGTGGGTATGGATATGATGGTAGATGTTATAAAGCTAGAAACACTTTAATATAAGCACAGGGATAATTATATACCAACTAGGTATACAGTCTATTACATTAGTAACCTTCCCTTAGGGAAGGTCAACTATGAATACAATTACTTATCATATATCTATCTTGTTTCTGTGACATTGTTTAGTTTCCTTGCTATTCCTTGCCTTGCTTATTGCTTTACCTCCGCACTACGTCACTTCGCGTTACGCTAGTGCAATACCCCGAGTGTATCGCAGCCCAGCAAGTCCTGTCAGATCCAGAACAGCTGCCAGGAGGGCTGTGTCAATTCTACCCTAGAAGTAGTGGTAGTGTATATATGTAGTGTAGGCTTTACCTATTTCAGCCAAGTAGACTAAATAGTGAACACTAGTTACAGCCACATGACCCACACTTCAACAGGATCTCGCTACCTGATGCAGCGAAATCTAGGAACACATAGATGAAGCCCTATAGTAGTAGTGATCTAGCTACATAGTTACAAATAATACACAGTAATTAAACAGCAATAACACAGCACAGTATACGTACTGTAGCGAATACAGGAGCGGCTAGTGTACTACGTAGACCTTTTAGTTGACTTAGCCGAAATAGGTAGAGTTTGCGGGGAAATTGAGCATTTGTGTGGATTTCGGTAAATAATACCACGAGACCCGAGCGGCCACGTGCATTTAACCCCTGGGGCCATTCAATGCCAAGGATAATTCGGCGAATTAGCAGAGATTCAGCTAGACTGTTTACGTAGTAATACGTTATTCACCGATGTAAGGTGTGAGTTGTTGTGGAGCATTTGCGGGGTACTTTCCCCCGCATTTGCCTTGGCTCTAGATAGCAACGCTAATGTACCCCACGTTATTGCTTTATACTATATTTTCAATAAGAGGAACATCCTCTATAGTATCTTGCTACATAGTGGCTGGATATAATATAAATAACAATATCAATCCAACACTTACGGTACGAAAACGTCCGATTTCCCAGCCCAGTATCCCTGACAACTACTCGACACAATGCGGCTGATAGGATTCCCCTTCCACCTTCTACCATGGCTCATTTTGCTGTCCGGTTGCACGGCGGAAGACGAACCTGTTCTGCCTGGTTTCAAGGACCCAGCCAATGATTACCGACCCAAGTTTCGATACTGGCAAGTTTGCCCCGAGTGCATGTATGATGACCACAGCTAACACTTTGCTCATAGGCTGCCAGATGCCAGTGTCCCGGCGGAATCCGTAGTGCATGATGTTGAGGCTATCAGCGCTGTAGGTGCTGGAGGCTTAGAGTTCCTTCCATTTTATGGGTACGGTACCATCGCGCCGGAATCCATTCCCACCGACTGGCATACCTATGGCTTTGGCACAGACGCCTTCAAGAAGCTGTTCATATCGGCCTTGAGTGCTTCTAACGAAGCCAAACTCCGGTTTGACTTTGCTGTGGGGGCTAGTCAGGGACAAGGCGTTCCAGCGGAGCCAGGATCGGACGGTCTGGCTGTGGAGTTGACATATGGAACAGTCTCCATTAACGGGGGTGATGTTTTTCGAGGTTCCTTGCCGGGACCCCAGCTTAACTATAACTACTTGCCCGGTTTCATGAATCCACCTGGAAGCTGGGGAGCTAACGAGCTAATTGCGGTTGTCGCTGCCGGTATCAGGTCAAGTAAGGCTACATGAATCGTTCCTCAAAGAGTGTCTTGGGGTTCAACGTGGCATCGCCATAGGTTTGCTAACCACTTTCCAGGAAACACCCTCCAAGCCGTCATTGATGAGTCCACTCTTTCCGATTTAACAGCTTCAGTCGTCAATAATTCATTGGAATGGACCGCTCCGAGCCAGTACTCGAGTTACACACTGTTTGCATTCTACCAACGACACTCCAACCAGAGATCTGTCACCACGAACCCCAACGCTGAGACCGTAATTGCCAACGGTTCCTGGGTTGTCGACCACTTCAGTGCTAGTGGCGCTCAAAAGACAACCGACTTCTTGGATCAACATTTGTTGGATGATCCATCTACCAAGGACCTGTTGAGGGCCACTGGAGAATACTGTGAGTGTCCGCAGCCGTTCTGCTGGAGATTTTGTCACCACCTTCCCCCCCAATCATGTACCAGCTTTGCCCTTAACAGAGATACTAACTACTGGATAGCCTGGGAAGACAGTAACGAGTTTCAGTCCGCACTTTATTGGACTAAAGATTTCGTCAAGCGGTTCGAGGCCAATCGAGGATACAGCCCTAATAAGTATCTTCCAATATACTTCAACGTCGCCAACCAGTGGAACGCATTGTGGCAACCCTACAACACTACCTACGTTCTAGATTCGGGAGCGGCCGGCGGTGAGAAGTACCTGCAGGACTATCGATTAACCCTTGATGAAGGTTACACGGAGTATTTGACTCATTTTCAGAAATGGGCAACTTCGCTTGGCTTGAGTCATTCAGCTCAGCCGGCCTACAACCTTCCTCTGGACGTGGTACGGACTTTGATCTCTTTCAACCTCCCCAGCTAGACCCCACTGACAGTACGAATAGCCGAGACATGTTCCTGAGGTCGCTGTGCCAGAGCTTGAGTCTCTCGGTTTCCCAACAATCGACAGTGCGCTTCATTTCGTAGGAGCCGCTCATCTGAGCGGGCGCAACGTGATCTCTACAGAAGTCGGGGCTGTGGCGTCGGGATCATACACACAAACCATCCCTTCACTCGTTGCCCTTTTCAAGGATTCTTTTGCAGCAGGCGTCAACATGATGGTCATTCACGGTTACCCTTACAGCGGAGAATACATCAACACAACATGGCCGGGCTATGACCCATTCGTCTACGCATACACTGAATGCTGGAACGAACGGCAGCCGGCATGGCGGCACATGAACGACAGTCTTGCTTATGCTGCAAGAAACTCCCTCGTATTGCAGACTGGAGTTCCGCGAGTCGACTTGGCATTCTACACTTTTGCACAGCATGAGCTTGATGCAGTGGAAACATCGCGTGGGGATGATCAGCGGGCAGCTGGTAAGCATCATCAATCCTCAATCGTCTGCTTAACTAACAAATCCAGGCTATTCATACGAGTATTTGGGCCCTATGAACCTGGTCTCAGAGGACGCAGTAGTAAGGGACAAAACATTGGCGCCGGACGGTCCCGCATATCGCGCACTCGTTATTAACAACGAGACCTACATCACTGCGGCCCTGTCAGCCAAGCTCCTCGACTTTGCAGCCGGTGGTCTTCCAATCTTCATCATCGGAAATGTCCCCAACATCACCATTGGCACCAAGGACCAGGCAAATGTGTCTTCCAACATGCAGACTCTTCTCTCGGACTACCCAAGTGTGCAGCGCCTGAATAACATCAGCGCTCTGACACAGGCTCTGCAAACCAACCAAGTCAAACCTCGGGCTTCAATCTTGAACGACAGTGCTTCCGGTAAATTTTACACCTTCTGGAGAAGCGATACCGAGCGAGATGTCGAACTTGTGTACCTCTACAACAGGGGCGCGGACGCCTCCGTCGATTTCGCGTTTCAAGCAGCTAGCGATAGCGTTCCTTACGTTCTTGACGCATGGACTGGCGAGCAGAATCCCCTACTTGTATACGAGAATCTTGAAGGCACTTTGGCTACGACGGTCTCTCTCAAAAGCAACCAAACAGCGATCCTCGCTTTCTCGAAGAGCCAAACGCAGAACTTACATGTTGTCTCGCACTCGGAAAACGTTGAGGAGTTTCAGCTCAAAGACAACGGCCAGATTGAAGCTCTTGTCGATAGTGGCACCGCAGATGTCCTCCTATCGAATGGCGATCGAAAGATAATTCCCGAGTCCGCAGCAGCCTCATCAAATCTAACACTTGATAAATGGAACCTCACGGTTGAATCGTATGGCCCAGCTTCCAACGAATCAAGTTCTCGAACAAGCATCACCACCATTGACGCCGGCGAATTGTCTTCGCTGCGCCCGTGGACGAACATTCCTGGTCTGCAGAACGTAAGCGGCGTGGGTATCTACACTTCCACTTTTGACCTGGACGATGTCTCGGTCGGAAATGAAACGGCCACGAAAATCAGATTTGGACCAGTGTTGAATTCTCTGCGAGCCTGGGTCAACGGTGAGCTGCTCCCTCCTGTGGATGTTATCGACCCAGAACTTGAAATTTCCCGCTGGGTAGTGTCGGGAAAGAACCAAATCAAGATTGAGACATCTAGTACCTTGGTCAACGCCGTCAAGGCAAACATCGGCACTGTGAGGAGTATCGGCGTCCCACCATCAAACACTCAGCCGTACGCCAATTATGTGGACTATGGGTTGGTGGGTCCGGTAACGATTAGAACGTTGAGGAAGGTCGTTGTTTCTTAGTGTGAGGAATTCAGGTGTATTAATGGACTTTTTCGTCTATTATATAGCTAGTCAATTATAGGATAGCTTCGCTTTAGGTTTACAAGTAAGTAGCTCGTAAGACTATAGCGTTTTATACTATAATTACCTTATAATATGTATGATATAGTCCTCCTAGCAGCCGTTCTGGATCTGACAGGACGTGCTGGACTGCGATATGCGTGGTGTATCCTACCAGCGTAACGCGAAGCGACGCAGTGCGAAGGTGAAGCGTAACAGTAAAGCAGTAAGCAAGACAAGCAATAACAAGGAGCTAAGCGAAGTCAAGGATAGCGTAGGTATAGATAGGTAAGTCTCTTCATGGTTGACCTTCCTCGCGCAAGTCAACAACAGCACTGGGATATATGCCCGCGGGCACGTGAAGGTTCACGTTATAGATAGGTATACATCTAGTGGCTGTTCCTATCTGCTATCTACGAAGGTGTTATCCCGTAATAACATATATAATAGTGTAGTATTTATAGAAAATCAAGTTATAATAATTACTAGGAGACAGAAAGAAAAAGTAGATACTAATCATAGAAATTACAAGTAAATATACTAAAAGAAAATAAGGATACTGCAAAGATTTATTAAATTCTCAATCCTGACCTAATGTAACTGGCATAATATTAGATCTATTATCTAATTCAACAAGGCCTTTGTCTATAGCCCTAAATCTAAAGGCAATTAATATGACTTATAAGAGGAGTGAACAGGCTGAAGCGCAAATAAGCGACTGTCCGCCTTCAACGGGCCTGGTTCTAGCTACATGACTACACACTTCTGGTAACAACAGTTGCATAAACATCCCTATAAGCATGAATAGTGGAGCGATTGAGTTGAAGAATGCAAACAGACACCCCTCTGCCTTACATGCTTGCAAATATTTTAAGCAGAAGGTCGCCTAATTAGATTAAAGGACCTAACCTCTCCCAGAAAGACAAGTTCCTCCGCCTTTGCTCCTTCTGTATTTCCACAAGACGCGCTTCTATATCACCCTTCTCTGGAGCACCTGATACCGCTGCTTCGCCCTCAGCTTCTGTATTTCTTAGGTTAGTTGTTCTATATTGGCTTTCTACTGTAGTCCCATGCCCTCTATCCCCAATTTATCCTTCTCCAACCTTGCAACCTTGGCTGCATGCTAGCTGCCACTGGCCTTCTGGTCCTTGAATTAAGCCATGATCTTGTTGAAGTTCTCCATCAGCTCATCCACGAAACGCTTAGCTGCATCCTGATCCAAGAGAGATTGCCTCTTCAAAGTTTGGATTCTGTCATTCAGCGATCTCTTCTCCTGTTCTATGCGTATATACTGGTCAGCAAACTCCTGCTCTTGGCGGCGATGGCTTTCTTGGTTCTTAGCTCACAGTATTGCCTATTCTTCTATTAGTTCCCTCATAGCCTTCATTTCCTCTTCCTTCTCCTCGAGAGCTTTACAAAGAAACTCGTTCTGTTTAAGCTGTGCCTTTTCCTGCTTGTTAACTCATATTTCAATCTTGTTCTTAAACTAGACACGCAAATCTGCTAGCTCCTAGTTAAGAGCTACCCTAGCTATGGTATTAATAACATATTATAATGCCTTGCTCTACTATCTCCTTTTACACTTGCAGCACAACAGGAGGCAAACTAGCAACTTCCGAGAGTATGTTAATAGCGGATCACTGTATACTACTGAAGCGCTAAATCTGCAAGCCCTTGCTCTTTATCTCACCACACCAATTAGGCTTTCTGAGAAGCTCCCGCTCTCTCTTCTATCCTATGTTGGCGTCCTGCAGCTTATCCCAAAATGTTATTACAAGGTACAGGTTGCCAAAGAAGTTATCCCTACATAGGTAACAGAAAATATCAAATGTCCACTAAACCCTGTTGCTGACTTTCTTATCCTTAATACAACAGGAAAAAAAATCCCACTTAACTAGAGCTTGCTTTTGGAAGATAAGCGTAATGTCTCTATAATGTTAATAAGAATCTCGCCATTACCCTAGCGAGTGTTGTTAACTCGTAGTGTGTTAAAGAGGATAAAGGGCGTCCTCTAAACTTCATAGTAAAGGATTCAGTCTTTTAAGTGCCTAAACAACATTAATATTAGATAAATACCCTTGAGATAGCATCAAGAAGCTCGCAAGATCCAAGACTTCTACTAACGATAGGACCTACGCCCTTAAATACTAATAAAAGGGAAGCTGGAAAGATATTAAACCGCCTGTCTTAAATGTCGCTAATTAATAGGATGTAGCAAAGAAATAGAAGTATAGACACATAGACTAGGTAACATACCATAGACTAACCTATTAATTATTTCTAACAGTGGGAAACCTAGTGCTTATTATATTTGTTATTAACTGTTAGTGTTATTCTTTGTTTTTCTGCATCTTGTTTTACGTTTTTCTTTTCTCTTTTAATCTAGTCACTATGTTGTGTGTGCACTGTGTGTATTTTATATACTAGTCCTAGGAAGCGTTGAAATATAATAGGTCATCCTGCTACCAACTTGAACTACAAATTTTTGCATCGCGCAGAAGATTTTAGCAACTACATGCACCAGATGCCAACTCCTGGTGATGTTGATTCTTGAAATAAAAATCTTTTTCATTCGACAGGGTTGGCTGTTTTTCATCTAAACAAAGGTTTAATTTCATATTCGTGTATTCATGCTCATCTTTATCGCTCAAGATTAAGTGTTCTACTCCGCCGTATCTGATGGTCCTCCTCTTCTTCATGATGAAGATGCCGTCCTGGAAGTCTCACCGCATGGTCCAGCGCAACAGGTAACCCACGGTGCCTACCGCGCAGCATGACAAGACATAATATTAGCTTGCTGCCTGTATGCCATGCGCCGCAAAAGCTGTAAGCGTCCGTCGGGATGCCGACGGATATTCCGACTGTACCATAAGCTGACACCACTTCAAAAATAATGTTAAAAACGGAAAACGTGACAGGATCCTGATTGAACTTTGACGTCTCGATGATCGTGATAATCAACACTGCCAAGACTAGCCACCAGAGATCGTGGGCTAGCTGTCCACGTACTTGCTGGCTGATGAAACTGATGCGACTCTCCGGTAGATTCGGGTCTCCTGAGGTGGTGCCAAGTCTTGGTGGCGCGACGCCGACGCCATGAAAGCTCATGAACGTGCTCTTGAATGCACGTCTTGCATCAGTCATACCTCTCGACCGGCTTAAGCGACGAGCCAACACAGAGGGTCGCGCTGACGCTCCACCAAAGCTAGTGGTGCGAGCGAGGGTTGGCGGGCGACTTCCTATAGACAGCAAGGACATGGCGCCTTCCGGGTCTTCTTCAGATGGGGATGACACGTCATCACTGTAAATACCTAGCGATCGCTCCTCGTAGACGTTGGAGTGACGCATCGTGATCACAACAGGATATACCGAGATATACATCATGATCACATATAGTAGTTGCAAGCCGATGAATAGTCCGGAAATAGGCACGACATAGAAGCCGCCAGATCGTACAGCTGGGACAGGGGGTAAGCATTCACTTTGTGTTTTTCAGTCCCAAACAGATGGCAAAAATCAACTCACCCAAGGCCTGGAACAGACCATCCAGTACGCGAAACCCGGTAGGAATTCTCTCTATAACTGGATTTCCAAGGTTGAGAATCTCAAACGCAACCCAGTCCACGCAGTTGAGACAGAGTAACATGAAGAAAAGCCACCAGGTTGGTCGTGATGGAAATAGGTTCGTGTAAACTCGTCGAGGATATTTCAGGATAAACTCAAGTGTAGCCTTAAGCTCGGTGAAGGCGTCCTGGGGCGTAGCGAGATTTAGTAGGCGAAGAGATGACCAGAGGATAAGACGAAGGAAGAGTGGGTAGGCGGTATTTCCAGCTAATATCAACAGTCCCATGGTGATCAAGACGTAGTAAGCGCCCTGAAAAGGGATTAGGTTTGCATCCAGAAGGGACATCCCCGAGTTATTGAAGGCCGAGACGCCGTTGAATATACCGAGCCACCATGGATTGATTCCATTGGCTTTTGCGGTATCGGGCATATAATGGTTCATCCAGGCTCCGAGACCAAGGCAACCTAGAATCTGCCAAAGAAAGAAATACACCGGCACCAAAAGAGCCAATACTTTAAGAGCACGGTATTCGCAGCCGCCAAGATGGTCGCGTTCAGCGCTGCTCAGACCATGAAACTGGCCGTTGCGACTAGCTAAGTGGTACTTCAAGAAATGGCGAGCGTCGAGGTCAACATCAGCCGAGTCCGTGGCCGACTCAATGTTGACCCTCCTCGATGGACGCGGTGCTCCGTCGTCATGGAGTGAAACACCTGTCGAGGCAGCGTGGTCGGCAGCAGCATTCGGATGAGGTGTATCATCAAATGTGATGTGACCCGGGTTTTGAGATTCAAGTACCTCATCGACGTCTTTGTTTGTGTTCTTGTCTCGAGATTCGATGTTGGGCATTGACGTTGTCCGCCGAAAATAGGGGGCAATATCAGCAGCATTTGGTTCCTGGTAGTCTGGCAGAGGGGCGCCAGTCTCTTGGAAATGCGTTCCCTTTCCCTTCAGGCTTTGATCCGGCGGCGGAACGGTCTGAGCTTTGCCGAATGAGAGTGTCAAATGGAACTTGGGTAAGTTCAGTGGAAGGCGCGGCATAGCCAATGACAAGCTACTACCCTGACGACTGAGTTTGCGCGCGCGTTCCGCTCGGACAATTTCGTTGAAGCGGTTCTCGAAGACATGTTTACGCGCCAAGACAGTCCAGATGGAGACCCAAATGGTGCTACCTAGCAGAAGTAGGAGAAACAGGATGGTTTGTTGCCATGTCGTGAGCTGACTGAGGTTGACCGTGTTCATCCCAGCTTCGGTCATAGCAGACACTACGAGAAAAAGGCTGTCGGTGTAGCTAACCTTGAAGGCCGGATCGGACGATCCCCAGAAGATGACCGAGCTGATAAGACACATAACAATGAAGTAGACATAATGAAGGGTGATAAAGTTCAAGGGTGGGAGATATTTGCCTAGGGAGGTTGATGATCGCGAGAACAGGCGCTTGAGGGAATCGTTGAGATGCATCAGACGTCGCGCTGGAGGCCAATAAAGAGGTTGTGTTGGTTGCAATTAGGGAGGTTGATGATCGCGAGAACAGGCGCTTGAGGGAATCGTTGAGATGCATCAGACGTCGCGCTGGAGGCTAACAAAGAGGTTGTGAGCGATGTTTGCAGGATACGGCGAGGTTGTGTTGGTTGCGATGTTTGCGAGATGTGCGTGACTAGTCCGGATGTTAGTTGGAGGAATAGGAGGATGGATTAAATGGCACTGTAGGGGCAGATGACGGCTCACACTGGGCTGTCTCGTGGTCGAAAAAGGTGACGTATGCTTTATGGTAATTGTGGGATAAGGGGGAAGGAAGGTGTCGAAAATCCCTCATTCGGACTGCGACGGACTTGCTTCAAGGCTAAACTTGTGAGGGTCTGGTATCCATTTCATCAATTGCGGCGACACAGTAGAATCACCTCCAGATATAAGACGTAGCGCGAGGAAAGGATAAGAGATCTTTCTGGCTTTCCTCGCGTTTCATGATTGTCAGACGTTATCATGAGACACGTGCCGAGGCATTGGTTGAGATTGCGCTTTTTAGTGCAAGGATAAAGTCTGGACAAGGCTTGTAATATTCATGTGCTGTGAAAAGCCCCGAAAGAGAAAGGCGCGTGCCTATGACTGATCCTAAGGGTCGGTCTATTTGGCACTTACAGAAAAAGATACGTGGCGTCGCATGGGGGCCCCCAGATTTTTGGTGTCCCTTCCGGCCTTAGGCATCACCATGATTTTGCCTCCTCCCTCCTCTCCAGGCCGCGCTCTTAACCCAGGATACCCCTCCCTAACGCGCGCATGTATGCTTTATTCTTCTCTTCTATAAGGGCACATTAGTATTCTGTCTTATATATCTACACTTGAGACTGCTATTTACACCCAACATCTGATCTTACGTTTACAAGTAAGGCATGTTGTACTGTGTTTCTAAAGATGATTTTGAATGATTTCTCTCTTTTTGTATGCGTTATAAATAGTAGGTGTAGCTATAGCAACACTAATAGTAGATACTCCTAAGGTGAAGGGAACAGCTAACCTAGAGATGGCGGTTGATGTGGAAGCACTAGAGATGAGGCCTGTGTCATATTCTTACTCCCTTTGTAGCCCCTTAGGTGTCAGGGCGTTGCACTTCGCATTATATGCCTTAAAATCAAAGGGCATTTTGCGGCTGATTAAAGTCTGGTGTTAAGATGATTGAAATTAAGGTGATCTGAGGAGGGGAGTACGGCGGATGTGCCGCACCACCTGATGGCAGTCTACTTTAATCATCAGTGTCGTTAATCGTTGAGGAGATTTAGGGCAAATGTGGCGTCTTGAGGCATATTGAAATGGTATGCGTCCATGCAGAGCTCGTCTTTTTTGTACACCACACATTGGCAAACTGGCTCAGCTCCTCAAAGTGTAGCCAAAGGCGCATGTCAGCCGCAGCGAAAAGAGTTAGGGGCCCAAGCAAGGCAGAAATGCAGCCAACCAGGGTGAATGCATGTTTCATACGAGCAAACATGCCATCAAATATGCCAGGGATAAGTCATTGGTCTATAGGGCGAGCTAAGCCTGGGTCCGCTGTTTCTGGGAACTGCTTAAGACCCACTGCGCCTATTGAATAGTTTTAGCTGCTGGTGGCATAGGCATGTAAACACCCACAAATAGCAAGAGCTTTTGCGCAATGCAAGCACTGATTGCTTTGGCAGTGAAGAGAAATCATCTCTTCTTGGTTTTATTTCACAGCCCGAGGAGCATAAATGTACTGACGACCGCACGAATAGCGTTCTCACGGTAGGAGCGTTTTTGCGGCCCCGCTGTTGCCAGCCCATGCCTTCACGATGCCGATATGGCCAGAATTATGAAATACAATTTCTGCGACACAGACAGAATTCCATTGTTCTCTACAAACACAATTCGGCTTCCCTAAATACTAACCTGCTTGCTCCATTGCTAGCATGTTGATGGATGATTATTACAACTCAATGAACTGGTATGGGCCTTGACCCTCAACGTTGACAAGCTTGCCGCTGCCCCGGCCTTTGCGGCACGAGCAAAGCGGATCAGTTCCCAGAAGCGATTATCATCTACTGCCTGCTTACTAACGTCGAACAGGGCTATCTATGAAAGGTGTGTACTGCTGCGGGCAGGTGATGTTGGACGGTGGGACTATGCCCTGGAGATATGCCTGAATATGTCCGAAGTAACAGTTTGACGCCCCTTGATCTATGACTGTATGCTGCATCCGAGAAAAACATCTCAAGAATAAGCTTAGGCCCTTCTGTTTTTTTTAAGATGGTTGTGTGGTTGAAATGTGTGAGCAACTTACACCGATAGCTTCTTGCAATAAGAGTACTGATCCGGGAAATCGAGACGACATCTTGAGCGCCCTGAGAATATTTTAGGTCAGTTAGCGATTTCTAGATGGCGGAACAGTTTGATCGAAACGTACGACTTTGAGGGCGTTATAGGGTCGATGGTGTTACTAGCAAACAAGATCGGGAAGGAGGTAGGTATGTCCAGTCCACCTATTGATTCTGAACAAGAAAAGAAAAGACTGGTTAGATTTTGCGACCTAATGATGTTCATTCACCTGCGAGAAGAAAGGAGAGAGAGAGAGTGAGTGTGTGTGTGTGTGTGTGTGTATGTGCGTGTGCGCGCGCGTGGGTGTTGCCTACCTTGAAACACCATGCTATCGGGCAATTCTGGCCGAAAGGATCTACACAAGATATTCTCCAGGAAGATGGGGTAGATATCACCGATGTATTTACTCTTAGAAACCGTGTACTCGACATAACTTTTGAAATCTTCAATGGTTGTGAGCTTGTTTCTTCGATACGAATCGGCGCACTGGATGGCAAGACGGGCGTCAGATGTAATACCAAACCCGTCGAATAAGCCCACAAGAGTAGATGCATTCCCAAGCTCGAGCTGCAGTAGAGTATCTGCCATAACTGGGAATGACGCCAGTGGAGTGTAGATAGTGTTGATAAAAAGAGCCTTCAGGTCTGAATAGGTGACCATTGACGGCAAACCTCGATTTTGAACTCCGCTTAGTGGAACCGGATGGTTCTGAAGCTGATGGACGATGCCGTCTATTCTCGCCGTGATGTCGTCTGGCGTGGGCCCCCAGAAGGAACACGTCTCAGGACCTGCGGAATGGCAGAAACTCGAGAACTGTTCCATGGTATCGTCCATTTGATCGACGTTGTCCCTCCAGTCATTATTGTAGTATTCCTCTGCATTCACAACACCATCGAGCACCATTCTCCCAATTCGATCAGGAAACATCGAAGCGAAAGTGGTGCCGACGATAGTGCCGTAGCTGATGCCATAACACCATAATTTGGCGTCCGACGGCGGCTGGCTGGCCACCTCGGCTTCGGCTTCTATAAATCTGAGCAGATCATGGGCAGCCGCCGGCGTAGTCACATAATATGCATAAGGTGACCCATTCTCAACAGCGTCGTTACACCACTCTCCATAGATAGAGCTTGAATAGTACTGTTCCTCAAGTGACGTTGATGAAATGTTAGTAGCGCCGGTACTGTGTAGTTGATTGAAGCCCAATCTTGCTTCTGCGTTCCCCGAAAAACAGTCGAGAGTCAAACCGCTGTTGTTCACACCGCGAGGGTCAAAGGAGACGAAGTTGTACTGCTCTCCAAAAATTGACCCTGCCAAGTTTTGATACGTGAGGAGAAGCTGAATACCAGAACCACCCGGACCGCCTTACGAAGTGTCAGTTTGGTCACTTGGATTCAGGGTAACTTTGTATGAGTGATCCAATAAAAATCTTACCTGGGATGAGTACAATGCTTGGGGACTGGGTGGTAGCATTTTTGCCAGCCAGTTTGATGAAGGCGATTGACGTCATTCCAAGACTTGTATTCGAATAATCTAGAGGAACTTCCAGTTTAGAGCATGTAAAGTCATCGAAACATGGGCTCCACGTGAGGTTGGCTGATGGCTCAATCTAGATGACCAGTCAGAAAGGTTGGAAGCCTTGGAGAATGTGATTCGGCAAAGTCCAGCACTTACGTTGTCAAAGCCATAGTCCATGCCCGGATCATGCCAGTAACTGGCTTTGCACATTAAGCTTGTGGAAAGAGTGAATATAATGAACGCGTTCATAAGTCGTGCCATTGTTATCCCCGAAAGGTTCCTCATCGAGCTTTCTGTCATGTTGCTTGCAAGAAGGTAATAACATTAACCATTGTAGCCAGCACAGCTGCGACATCAGGGAACTATTTATATTAGTTGCAAGTCACAGCACCTCACATATTTTCAGGTTTAATTGCCTAACCTGACAGGCAATCTCACTCCTCCCATCAACTTACAATATCAATTGGGCATACTCTCCATGCGCCCCACTTGTACGAACAAGCCAATCAGTTCCCATCTCAACTCTGGACATAGCTGTTTAAAAGATATCGCATGAGGAGATCTCCACTGCCGAAAAAGTCAAGCTGAGTCTAGCCAAGGCCATAGAGAACTCCGCACAGGTGTGCGATGGGCTCCACTTACAGGTACACACTTCCATAGGCACAGGATGCAGCTGACCTGACCTACCCCACCCTTGCCTGACCTGACCTAGGCCCACTTCTAAAACTTACCCAAGGTTTCGCCGTTGATGGAGGGTAGGTCAGGTCAGTTCACAAATGTGGGTCTAGGCCCACACACCAATGTAGGCAGGGTACAGAGATTAATCCTAGACTATTCCTATCTACCTTAATTCTACCTTAATACAGAGGTCTAACAATACTTAATAAAGACATTAAAGATAATCCTTTTATTAGCTAAATAGAATCTAGAGGTCTATTAATAAAGAAGATAAATATAATTCTTCTATTAGCTAATTATAGGATATATAAATATATAAATATATATTCTAGTTTAAAAGTACTAGGTAAAAAATAGAACACTTAGTTACCCTTTATTTTCCTTATAGCTGCCCTTTGTTACCTTATTAACTAGGTGCACCTAGCCTAGCTTATAAATATCTACCCTATATACAAAATTTCCTAGATTACTCTAAGCCTATTCTTAAACTCTTCTACTTTACTTACTTTTTTATAATAATCTAAGTTTAATCTTAGATAGCTTTATCTTTACTTAATATTAATTTTAATCTAAGTTTAATCTTAGATCCCTCCTTTACCTTAATATCTTTATTCTTTAGTTAATCTATTAGAGACTATTCCTAGATTAATCCTAGTTTACTCCCTATGCCTTAACTATAAGGCCTTATAGCCTTTAAAGACTTAAAGGCTTATATATATTACACTTTATATAAAATATACCCTAAGGGCTATCCTGTTTAGGATAAGAAGGTTTATTTACTAATTATTTCTAAAAAAAGCATTATTTAATTACTAACGTTTATATAAGGATAATAAGTTTATAGTTCCCCTAGGAGAGGTCTTCTACTATAGCTATACTATTTTAAAGAAGGGTTATATTACCTATTACTAGGATACTATATATTTACTTTAAGATAAATCCTAGATTAATCTAAGCTTACACTATAATAGTGTAAATAGGCTACTAGTAATTTTAACCTATATTACTATATAAGCACCTATATAGACGTCTATATAGCCTATAGTAATCTTAATTCTATATACTACTAAGAACTTACTAGTAAGTTTAACTCTAGATTAAGTGTTAATTAATCTTTACTTACTCTCTAAAGAATACTACAAGGAAGTTAATACCTATTACCTTATAAGTATACAGTAGGTAGACAAAGACAACAACTAGACTATAGACACTATTACTTACCCTCTAAAAGAGGCCTAACTAAAGAAAGATACTAAGTAATCTTAGTATAATCCTAGCTTAGGTAAAAATAAATCTAAAAGTAAGCTTTTTCCTAAGAAGAAGTAAAAGAAGTCTAGCTACAAGAAGGATTAAAGTTTAATTACCTCTAGAACTATAATTAATTATTCTTCCCTTAACACTATAAAGACTAAGCGTAAAGGAAAAAGTAAAGAAAAGCCTAGTCTAATTAACCCTAGTTCTACTAAGGATTTATCTAAGATTAATTATAAGACTAATCTTTAAGAGGAAATTAAATTTAAGCCTATTCTACCTGTCTAGTATATTACTTAGTTTAATAAAGATAGCGTTTAGTATAGCCCTAAGAAGTACTCTTTAGCTATTATTCTTATAAAGCTAAAGAAGAGGAAGGTTTAGTATATAAGTAAACTACACTTTATCTAAGATTAATCCTAGATTATTACTAATGTCTTATAGCCTAATCTTAAGGCTATAAAGCAGTAACTTATCTTAGCTAAGTGTAGTAACTATAACTTTACTTACAGTAAGATTTTATAAAGAATAATTAAAGATTAATTACTAATTATTTATAGAGTGTCTATCTAAAGAGCGCCCTAAGCTAGACACTAAGGGTTACTACCTTATTTAGGACTATTATAGTCCTTGTCCTAAGCTAGCTAGCAAGGATAACAGTAAGCCTAAGTTAGCTAATATAGAGAATAATAACAAGGAGATCTAGGAGTAAGCTAGGATTAATCTTCTAAGGTAAAGTAATATAGGTTAATAACTAATTAGGGTTAAGAGTAAGTAAAGATTAATCTCCTAGGGTAAAGCAATATATATTTAATATAGTAAAGGGGTAAGTTAAGACTAATTAGAGATTAATTATAGATCCTATATAGCTATTTAAGGTAAAGAAGGATTAAGGACTAATTATAGATTAATTATAGATCCTACCTAGCTAGTAATAACTTATTTTAACTATAAAAAGATAATTAGTAATATATTAAAAGACTACTCTTAATTAAACTAAAGTAAAAACACTAGATAAAAATATCTATCTTAGGCACTCTTAATTAAACTAAAGTAAAAACACTAGATAAGAATATCTATCTTAAGCTTTAACCTAGCTTTATCTATTTTACTTAGTAAGATTATAGTAGGCTCTTAATAAAGGTACAATATATCTACAATATACTCAAGGTTAAGTGTACTATCTACTTAGCTAAGAATATCTAGCTTCTTATAGATAAATACCTATTAGGTAATATTATAACTAAGTAGACTAAACTACTTTTAGTAGGCACTAAGTTAGAATAGAACGTCTTTAATCTTTTTAACACTAATTAATCTTTAATTAGGATCTAATCTATCTATAGGCCAAGGATAATAATCCTCCTTTATAACTCTAAAGGTATTACTAAAAGATAAGGTAAGGTTTCTTGCTTATTTCCCTTTATCTATAGTAATAGTAATTAATACATCCTAAGAAATAGGGATCTTAAGTATTACTATAATAGATAGTAGGCTAAGACAGCTAAGTGCATTAGTTAAAAGGTGTTTAGTAAGGATTATCTAAAGCCCCCTAGCTATAGAGCTAAGGAGAATATACCTTTTCTTTTGCTAAGTAAGTAAAGCCTAGTGCTTTAGTTCTACAAGAGGCTCTATTTTAACTTCTCTAGTAGCTCCTAGTAAAAGTACTAGGTTATATAAAATTACCTTCTAAAAGGTAAAAAAGTTAAAGGCTTTTTAGTATTATAGATTTAGGGCTAAGTGTAAAGATTAATTATATGTTAAGGTTACTAGGGATTTATCTTCTAATTAAACTAGCTAGTAAGCTTTAATTAATCTTAGAGTAATTATATATTAATCTAAGGAAATTCTAGGATCTCTAGGGTTAGTAGGATTAGGGTCTTACTAGCCCTATAAGTTAAAAAGGTTATATTGCCCTATATTCTTGTTGCTTTCTAGGTTAAATCTACAAAAGATCTAAGTACAAAATTAGTCTAGGTTTAGAAACACAAGAGGACCTTTAGATTTAGCTTCCTTCTGTTTTAAAGTATAAGCAAAGAACTCTTTAGTAAAGCTATAAATATTAGTACTTTATACTATAATCCCTATATAAAAGCTAGTATCTATAATTAAACTATCTACAGTAGCCTTATATATATTAAAGATTATAATTAAGGTAATTACTATATTAGCTAGGCTTTTATTAGCTATATCTATAAAGTTAACTACTTAGGGGTTTTAAGTATTAGAGTTTAGTATAGTTTAGCTTATTAAAATAGCCTTTTTCTTTAGACTACTTAAAAGCTCTAGAAGGCCTAGTGTTTTAAGAGGGTTTTCTCCTTAGCGTTTATAAGCCTTAACTCTCTAGAATTACTCTAGATAAAGGTATTATCTATTAATTAAGTAGACACCCTTATCCTAGGTAAGCAGGTAATTAGCGTTAGGCTCTATATAGGTAACACTAGACTAACAGCAGTAAAGGTTCTACTTATAGAGGATATAAGAGCTATATTTATCTATAATTACTTCCTAGTCTTAGGCTATAGTACACTAGCGCTTACTAGCTATAGATAAAGTCTTATTAAACTAATACTTACCTATAGTAAAAGTAAAAGTAGTTAAAGTAGTTAAAAGTTTTTATAGATTAATTAATAAAAAAGAAGTAATAAAGCTTTAATTAGTTCTTAAAGGTTTAATAAAGAATTAAAGATTAATTAGGGATACATAGAATAGTAAAGTAGGTAGAATTATAGAAATATAGTTTAAAGTTAAAGGTTACTTATAGTAAAGTAGTAAATAACCTAGACATAGACTAAAAAGATTAAATATATAAACTCCTAGTGTTATAAAAATAAGTTAATAGTAAATACCTTTATTATTATATTCTTTATATAAGTATAATAAGACTATAATAAAATAGTATTTATTTATAATAAAGAATCTTTATAACCTTTTATTCTATAGCTAAAAGAGACTTTAAACTACCTTCTAGAACTCTTTCTTTTACTATTAAAAAACGTAAACTTTACCTAGACATAGTATTCTTAGTTTCTAAGACAAGGTAGACAGGCTATATAATTAGTATACTTTACTATTAAATATAGAATAATAGTATAGCTTACCTTTTACTGTCTTATAGATACCTTTATAAATTAGCCTAAGGCTAGCTATCTGTTTTATTTCTGCCTATTTAGGATAAGGTAGGCTTCTCTTTTTCCTAGTAAACATTAGTACAACCAGAAGGCTATTATTACCTTCTACCTAGTAGGTAGTCCTAACTCCCTTTAGTTAATTATTAATTAAGCCCTAATTAATCTAAGTTATATTTACTAAGGTAAAGTTATTTTCTATAGTTTATTAACTTAAAGGACACTTAACGTTCTTTGCCTAATTATTAATTAAGCCCTAACTAATCTAAGTTATATCTACTAAGGTAAAGTTATTTTCTATAGTTTATTAACTTAAGGGACACTTAATGTTCTCTACCTAATTATTAATTAAGCCCTAATTAATCTAAGTTATATCTACTAAAGCAAGGTTACTTAAATTTTAATACACTATCTAGACCTTGTC